AATAGATTATGAGCAGACTTTGTGCAGTTTTGGAAAACAGAACTGTTCTGGAAAGCATGCTTCTTGTAAATAAACCCCTGTCTGTGCTTCATGATCACCCCACCTATCCCCCAGCCCTTTAAGGTTGTACATGTGCTATGACTGCATCTGGCTCGGGCTGATAGTTTCTCCAGTTGGCTCCACAGAAGGGTAGAAAAAAGTTCTGTAAAACAAGAAAAAACGAACAAGCCCAAAGATATCAACTCTGCTCTTGGCACTGAATCTCACTGCGGTCATCATTTCTGGTAAACCTACACAGCAGCTTTCATGTTGCAGTGATGACAAACTTCCTGTTGTAGGCTGGAACAGGTCAGCATTCCCTTTCTCTGCCAAGTGATCCAAACCCTGTGCAATCCTAGATAATCAAGACCAAGTTTTCATGGCTGTTGTTGCTGGGAAAGCAGTCTCTGCATAAAGTGTTACCTGTAACACCGCTAGCCAAACCTATACACAGAGATGCTAATTCACAGGCAGACAACTCTCAGAAGAAACTGTATCTTGCAAAAACGATCAAGGGGATACTATCTCTACATGAGACATGACTGAGACCAAACCCTTTGCTACCCAGATTCTAGAAAAAAGCCAGATTACTATGAATTATGAATAAAAGCTTTTAATACATGCATCCTTCTCAGAGGAGATCAAACAGCTACATAGGGAGAAACAAACATGACCACAGACAGTGACTAAAACTGGCGAGCACAAGAAATGAAGTTTGTGCGAGATCAGCAACCCAAAGTATCTTCAGAGGTAACAGCGATGCATGGTAAAGACCAGAAATGTGCTTATAAAAATGTAAATTGGCTACAGAACTCAACAATGAACAAAGCACAGCTGTGCAATTTCATTTGAAAAGCAGTATTTTATTCTAAACCTGCCTGCACAAACACAGCATGTGCTACTCACCTAGATCCTTTATGAAAAGCCACTCCTCTGTTACTTCTCAGCCCCATCGTTCCCATGAGCTGGATCCATTAAGAGTTAATACATGAGTACATGAAACTGCTTAAAATAACCACAGAGTCACAAAGATAAAGGTCTCTGGATAATATAAATGGTCTGGTTTAATCATGTGCCAGGACTGCTGATGGTGTTTGCAGCTATTACAGCGCTCATTCTGCACACAGACAGCAGTGCGCGGTAGCAGCAGGCAGCCCAGCTAGCTGGCCCACAGTGGGGTAAGAAACCAGACAGTACTTCTTTAATAAATCCAGCAATTCTACAAGGGGCTTTCACAATCATCACCTTTATATCTTTGTCATAAAACAAGGAAGGTGTTTTGACCCTGCATAAGTCTGCCAGCACAATGTGCTTTGCCATCTGTACCAAATTCTTCTGTCCTATCCCCAGATAAATCTATCCTAAATATTAGGGGAGCCCACTAAGCAGGAAACAGCCATGGCAGTTACTGGAAAAGAGAAACAATGTTTCCTCAGGATCACTACCTTCATCATAGCACTTCTTAAGCACATAGCTCCTCTTCTGAACACCATCAAGTAAGTGCAGTTCCCAAGAAAAAACTCTGCATTTCAGTTGCATGCCCAGACATTAAGGAGACACATATAAAGACTCAAAATCCATTTGTTTGCTTAATCTTCTCTATGTCCTTCTGCAACTTCTGCTTCTTTTCCTCTCATACCATGTTCCATTTTCTCACATTTTTGTTTGCCATTCCTTATATGAAAAAACCAAAATCCCTTTACAAAAAAAAGCTAATCAGATTTAATTTTTTTTCCTTTTACTCCAGCAATCCTGACAGACACCTGTTAGTAGTTTTGTCACCATCGAATGAGGGTAGTGTCAGCTAGAACTGTCAGCACCATCGTCCCTGGACAGCTGGAAGAGGAACGGTCTAGCAGTGAAGCAGCTCCTGAGCGACAGCAGGGATCGGCTATGCATAGACATGAGAAAGCCAGGAATGTTCCTGAACTTCTCAACTAACAGCCATTTTACTGAATGTATTAGTCAAACCTTTAAAGGTTGTTTAAATTAAAACAAATGCAGCTTTTGGAAATGACACCTGAGTGTCTGTGAATAATGGTATGTATAATCTATGTATACTAAAGAATTAAAGTTTCTTAACTAGAAATCATCAAATACCTTCCAGTGCAGGTAAGCAATTAAAACAAAAAAGTGCAAAAGAATCATAAAACTATGTAACTTTTTTACATCTCTGTGCCCACTACAAAACCAAATGCAACACATTTTGAAGTCTCAAAAGCTTTCCATCTCATTCTCTGTTCTCAACCAGAAAAACATGTTTCCTCATGAACTACCATAATTCTAACAACTTGAGTTCTAATTTGGTAGCCTGCCTTGTACAAGACCAAGCTCTGAGCTACACGTATCCTACAAACCTTCTGAGATCCACTTAGTCACACAGATATGAGGAAATATAGACTTTAATAGTCAAATTCAATAGCAGCGAAAAGAACAGTAGCTCCTGTCCTGAAAGGGAATCACAAATAGGAAATGAGTCATGCTCAAAACATCGACACTTATCAATTGCAAAACAATGAAATGAGTATTCCTGTCAGTTTATTTGCAGACAGCAACCCTTTTAGTCCTCAGTTTCACTGAGGACTCTCGAGATCAAATATATCAAAAATCACAGAAAGCTTGCAGAGGTCTATTTTTTTCAATGTCTTTTCTCAGTCATTCTGTTTTGTGCCTCCACCATACTGGACGTACATGTTGGTGAGACAATGTCATCCAGCAAGGCCTGGCACAGGCTTGCATTTATCTAACACAATGCACAGAGCTCTACAGGGTTCCATTTGGACTGGACACGCTGTGTACCTAGCAGGGTTTGTCAAGTTGGCACGTGAGGTCACACACAAGTCCATGATCTATCCTTGATCACAGGCAGCCCAGAACCAACATCCTTATACCACGTAAACCCATTTGTGACTGGTGACACAAACAAACAATAATAAAGAGAACAGATCAAGGATGCAACTGCACAACTTAATTTCCCGTGGAGGGGAATTCATCAGGCATACAGTAAATAAAAGGAAAAAGGAAAGCCAAAGTGAAATACTTTGTATATTTTAAGTCCACATCTTTTATTACCCATTCCACCACAAATCTATGCAATCAAGGAGACTGCCAGTTGGAGTTTGTGAAGGGCTTTTTTTTTGTTTTGTTTCTCAGGGGTTTTGTTTTACTAGCTGTTACTTAAGGACAGAAGTGAAACACCATGACACCATTTCCACTCCTGCAGAGTGTGTAGGGCTCTCTTTGATGCTTCTGATGTCATGTAGTCTTGTGGATCATATCACCTTTCCCGTGAAAGCACAGGGATTATCTTTCTCCATTACTTTGCATTCTCCCTTACAAGAACAAACATTTCCTGCTATTCTTCCAACAGTGAAAAATAGCTGCTTGTATCACATAGAAAGCCAGTAGCCTTATTTGTTAACCAGCTGTTTTGCTTTAAGGAGTTAGTATTTTCAAACACACTTAAATGTTTCTCTTTCCTATAAAAATCCAATTTCCCAGGAATTTTCCAGAAAAATAGTTTTTACGTTTGCATTCCCATAATCAGCTAAAAATGTTACAATTATTTAAAGAGTTTCTTGGGCACATGTAGCTTTCTAATGAATTCTGTGTAGTATCCAAAAACTAAAAGAAGAGCTAGCGTGAAAGAAGTCATTATTGGGTTATTGGATTAAGACAGGAAGGTATATGGTTCCTTTTCATACAAACTCAATACACTGAAGTCTAACCAGATGTGCTCAGTGGAGAAAGACCAGAATTAATAAACTCAGAGGCATACTTTCTAAGTAATGGTAATCTCTTAGGTCTATGTTTTCTTTAACAAGCTTTTCCACAGCTGAAAGCAAAGGCTCTTCAGAAACACAAAGCCATGGAAGACATCTAGTCTCTTCCCTGAGATCCACACACCAGGACAGCATTTCTTCCTTGTTCCCTTTATTTATTTTATTTTCTCTCAATAGCCATGCATAAAATGTTGATAAAGTCAAAAGATTATTTTTATCTCCCATTCTCACAGTTTTAAGGTACAAAGAGGCGTCCTGGAAAAGTTTAGACATTTAGGAAATCTAGACATGCTGTATTCTCAAAATGTGTGTCAAGTGATATCCATCTAATTTAAGTCACACTCATCTATGGGTATAAGCCCTTCAGTAAGGAGGGTATGTAAGGAATGGTGATACAGATTAGTGTTTGTAAGACATACGTTGTTTAAAAGATAAATGTCCTTTCTATATAATTTTAAAATCCATTCTATAAATTTTTAGCGTACAATAAAACCGTTGTGCTTACTTTGAAAACAAAATGGCACTTGAGTGACATTTCTTTAACAACAGCTGCTCAGTGAAGATGATTACAGCCCTAGCAAGCCCTAGATGAAGAGTCTGTCACTTTTCTTTCCACATTTGAACCTTTCTATGTCTCAGCAGGTCTAGAAAGCACTCTCTCTATCCTTAGGACCATGACAGAGGTGAAATTCAGTTATCCCACTGCTGCTTTCAAGCCGAGGTGAAATTCACAGGGCTCCACAAATCCAAGAGCCCAATTACTTCATTGCACACCCCATGTTATTCTGCTGTTTTCATGCACAGTGTGTCAGCAACCTCTTGTGTAGTCAGACCGCACACAAAACTAAACACTAAACCTGCTGCTCCTGCCAAAACAAGACATTGCCTCCTTGGGTATAGCACAAGTAGCAACAAATCAAGGCAAAAGAAGAAAGAAACCCCCTCTGCCTGATCAAACATAAATAGAATACATTTTCCTGGCATCAGGTCTCCAAGGCCTGATACTGCTCAGAGTGACAAATCATGCCAAGCAAGAAGTTCTGAGCTTCCACCCAAAACGTTTCATCCACCTGTCAGGAAATGAAACATCTGAGGCCAAGCAGCACAACTTTAATTGGTTGAGTATTTTTTTTTAAGTAGTGGAATTGCAATAAGGCCAACACAAAGGAATGAACTGACCTTGACATATGCTAGGTAATGCTCGCACTTTTCCTGCATGTACGACAGTTGTAACTTCTCTGTGATCTGCCCTGCTGTCTCTCCAGAAGTCACAAAGTAAATTCTGGATTGATGGCTCTTTTCCTTCTTTGCCACATCAGCAGTCAAGTTATAATTCAAACCTGTTTTAAAAAGGAAGTAGGAGAAAACAAAGGATGTCAGTGAACAATAGTTATTTTCTAGCCACCTATCAATGGACCCTGTTGCCTCCTAGTGTGCTTGAAGAAAGGTCAACCCTTGCAAGCTCTAAATTAATCACTGAGTTTCCCGTTGCTACATAAAACCAAATCCAATTACTAACGTACTCCCACATTTTGTGTTACTATTATTCCCAGGCCATCCTTCCCGCAGGAAATGGTGTGTAAGAATACATCTAGATATGTACATTTAACACCAAAAAAAACCCCAAAACACCCCAAACCAAAAAAAAAACCACAAAAACCCCAGAAGATGCTTAAACTATGTTGCTAACAGAAAAAGCAAAACCACACAAACAACAGTAGCAGCCTCAAGTTCATTTTCCTCCTAAAACAACACAAACTATGCAAATGTAAACCATGATATGGCATTTCCTGACAATTGTTTTCTTTGATTTGCAGTCATCTTAGCATTTATACCTTAACTAGAGGCCAATGCCTCGCACTCAGCAGTGCCCTCTTAGATGTTACACATCCCTGGCAGTTTATAGAAGACATATCCCAAGACTTATGAGCTGTCTCTTTGTAAATCTTGTTTCCTGCTGTTCTACAGGATAGGTAGTTTGACACAATCGATTGCTATGTGACTGGATGTGTCTGTGTCCAGAAGAAAACTTACCTGCTAATTGAAGTACTGTGTTGATTTTGGCTAGGATAGAGTTAATTTTCTTCACCATAGCTAGTAAGGGGTTATGCTTTGGATCTGAAAACAGTGCTGAAAACAGTGTTGATAACACAGGGATATTTTAATTGTTCCTGAACAATGCTTTGCACTGTGTCAAGGCCTTTTCTGCTTCTCACACTGCTTCACCAGTGAGTAGGTTTAGGGGATCACAAGAAGTTGGGAGGGGACACAGCTGGGACATACCAAAGGGATATTCCATACCATATGACATCTTGTTCAATATATAGAGTAGGGGAAAGAAGGACAAAGGTGGGAACGTTTGGAGTGACGGTGTTTGTTTTCCTAAGTAACCATTATGATTTCCTGGAATATGCTGAGCTGGAAGAAAGGCACAAGGATCCAGCTCTTAACCCTGCACCGGACCACCCCCAAGAGTCACACCATGTGCCTGAGAGCATTGTCCACACGCTTCTTGAACTCTGTCAGGCTTGCTGCTGTGACCATTTCCCTGAGAAGCCTGTCCCAGTGCCCAATCACCCTCTGAGTGAAGAGCCTTTTTCTAATATCCAACCTAAACCTTTCCTGACACAACTGCAGGCCAATCTCTTGGGTCCTGTCACTGGTCACCTCTGAGAAGAGATCAGAGCCTGTCCCTCTCCCTCCCCTCATGAGGAAGTTGCAGACTGTTAAAGGCTGTTGCAGATGATTACATTGTCTTCATCTTAACGCATGAATTTTCTCACTTCTGATTTTCTCCCCCATCCTGCTGGTGGGGGTGAAAGTAGCTACATGGTGCTTAGTTGCCACCTGAGTTTAAACCACAACAAGTACTTGAATAATCCAAGTTGACTACACCTCGCCTTTCATTAAAGGTAACAACAGGAGCAATGAAACTGTAACAGAAGCATTAGCCCTTGTTCTGCTGCTTTATACACACCAGGTAAATATTTATTCTAAGGTCCTTTCACTTACCAGAAACCAAAGCCTGTATTGATTTCAGCTGTTATCAAGGCAATAATAAAAATACCCTGAGATTGGCTCATTATTAAAGAGCTTAATTTGTTGATAACATTTGTAAAGGACAGACAGCACCAGTTCCTGTGCCAATTCACTACATATGTAGGGTACTTGCCAAATTATTGCTTTGGTTTTTATTAATGTTTTAAGTCCGATATGACTGATGTCAAACAAAATGCTCCCCATAATGTAAACTTTTTTTAAGCTAGAATTTTATAAACTATCAGTGTAAATGTTACACGTTCCTGGACTGAGGTCTACTATACCAAACTTCGGCAAGGGGTCTTTTGCTGCATTTTGTTGTGCTTTTGTGATGGAGTTTGGTTTGTTGTTTTGTTGTGGTTCTTTTTTTTTTTTTAAATCAAAGAAAATCCTAATCACTCAGAATTAACATTTACTATCACCTCCAATCATTCCTCCACCAAAATTTTAAAAATACTTCAGATTAGTGAAATGGTATTGTAAAACTTGGCGCAAAAGTCTCTGTGAACACTTATAAACTCACACAACTCAAACTAGCTTCACTTCATGTGCAGTGTGCTGCATTCTGACTAAAAGTTTAGGGCATAAAAACCAGACAAACTCTTAGTGGTATGAAAAGCATAACTGGGGAATCAGCCTAACTACCATCACAGGGCTTCATCAGAACATTTTTTTGCTTGCTTTTGGCAGAATAACTTGTTTAGAAAGACAATGTCTTGAAAGTATTTCAAACTCAAAAGCTCATGACCAAAAACTCTCACTAAAGTGGTGTTTACTCAGTCCTACTAAAGAGCACCACCTTATCAGAAAAACAGGGTTTAGCTTGCTTAAAATCCTAAACGTTTTTTCTTTTTTTTGAGGTGGCACATCCTACACCCATCCCCAATTGTCTCCCTTTTTATTTCAAGATCTCATATGCATATACATGCAAGCAATCCCAAGATCGGCACCAATATCAAAAAAATTAAAGACAAGAAAACATGTTAGCAAACCCAGGCTTTGCTACACGGAGGCAAAAAGCCCTGTGGACAGATGCAGCCCTCTTCAAAGGAGGAGGGACTGCAGAGCTTGCAGGGGTGCCTAGGGAGGCTTTTAGGGTCTCCAGTGATAATGTGACTTATTAGTGACACTGAACAATTTCTCACTGCAGGCCCGGAAAGGGATCCCAGTGTGAGGCCTGCACCAGGTCTCTGATTAAAGATCCCAGACACTGTCCAATCAGTATGGTTCCCTGCCTCCCCTTTATTATCACAACCTGTTTCTATGTTGTATCCAGTTAATTCATATTAGTGGAAAAATTGAAATATCATAAATACTTGTTTTCCCCCTCACCAGCTTTGTTGCTTCCAAAAGGCAAACCCAGGTGAGGAGATAACTGGCTAAACGTAGCACTGCTGGTGTTTTAAGTTCCTCCTGCTCACTCCAGTAGAAAATCAGGAGGCAAGTTTTTTGTAGCAAATTAACTCTTCCAGGTACTGTCTTCAAACACTTATCTAGCAGCTTTAAGCAAGTTTTCTCACTTTTTTCTCCAGATCTACCCACTCAACTTCACACAATTAAAATAAAACTCTGGCATGAGTTTGATGAGCTCAGAAGCGCTCAATTCTTCTAATGACTATTCTTTTTCCATAACCAAATTTAAATGGCTAAAGGCTTTGACAACAGCTCCCTCTGAGAAATTTTTGGTCATACCTGCAAGAGTACCGCCACCCAGCAGACCAGGTGAATTACTCCAGCCAGTACAAGATGCACCAAGTAAATGGCAGCAGGCATTTTATACTGGATTTTCATCCTAAATGGCATATATGTATTCATGATGAAAGAGTCATCCCTGATGGCTGAAGGCAGCCCTGAAGCAGTGAGGAGTGAGAAGAGATTAAGACAGAGTTGGTGAGGTGAATGGAATTGTGTAACCCCCAAGCTAAAATGGGAATCACAGCTGGCTGTGCTAATAGAGGGATTACACACACTAAGCCACTCAGCACATCCCATCCTCACTCACTCACATACCACACAAACAGCACGAGGCAAAATGCTCAACAGGAACAAGCACATCTGTAAATGCTTGTTAAACTACTAGCTATAGTACTGATTTGCGGGGGGCAAGGGGAGGGCACCACATGAAAAAAATTACTAAATAATAACAAAAAGTGATTGGAAGAAGAATGTGTTTCTTTGGTGTCTCTGCCAGTAACTTCAAGGAGAAAATGATTCACGAACTTTGCTTGCAAAGAAAATTCTTAAGTAAAAGTATTAAAAAATATATACTTTAGCAAATGAGAATATATGTAGGACATTCCCTTCATCCTCTTCCAAAAAGATTTCTTTTTCCCATTACTTCAAACCTTGTTTCAAATCCTCTCTCATAGTGTTGTCCCTGGCTCTAAGTAGTGAGCCATCCTCACTGCTCCATACACTGAACACATCCCTGCTGCATGCCTGTTTCTAAGGCACTCTGAAGGCAACACTGACTCAGGTCTGCATCTGAATAGACTGGAAAAATAAGAGACAGGAAGAAATAAAACTCCTGCACCTAACTAGAGCTGCATACAGGTAAGAAGAGGGGAGTCCATTTCTGAAAAGTTTCAGGTGTTACTTCAGTCCTAGAAACATGTTCAAATAGAGCGAAAATACCAAAAATCCTACACTGAATTTTGCACCAGTCTTTCAGGCAACAGTATTAGGGACATGAGGACTACCCTAGCAATGGATCAACACACAAGCAATGCACATCTGAAATGAAAAGTACAGGAGAAAGTTTGAAGCAATTTCTAACATATCTGCCTAACTCTAGTCAAATGACCAAAACCCTTCATTTCCATAGCCACTAAAATTCACCTGTGTCTCATAATGGCACTACTATTATTGTTATTATTGTAGAGGAAATTATCCAGACTGTGGGCCACATTTACTTCCATTTTCCTTCAGAGATGAATGCAGAAGCAGCCCCTGATGCACAGAGATGCAGCAGTCTCTTTTCCTGTCCTGGTCACCCAGAAGCATGTGGTTTGAACAGGCTGAAACCTTCTCATTCAAGCCAGGAAAGGCCTTTCTCTAATCCCTGCCTTTTCTGGCAATACAGAGACCTCACAGGAGACAAAGCAATGGCCCTTTAAATGAAAGAGGAACAGCCTGAGTGAGATTTTGAGGTGACAGAGTGAAAACTTAAAATGTTGTATATCTCATACCTCCAGGACATACTGGAGGCAGTCTCTGTCAGCGGACATACAATTAGACACTCAACTCTCCAGCAAGCACTGAGGCAATGTATGGCATGCACTGCAGAGTACATTTCCCTTGACCGTGGCTCTTTGTCCAGACAAAAACATTTCAGCAATAAATTCATACTTCTGAAGACCGTAGCCTGAAAGAAACAATTTAATGGAAACTGTACTGTCATTGGCAGTATCAAGCAGTGTCAATAAATGCAGAACCCCAGATAGCTGTTTCATGACCAGTAGGCTTACAAGTCCCACTAGAAAAAGAAGAAGAAAAAAAAAAGATGGGGAACGTTTATATTCAAGTGTGAGGCAGTGCTAGATGAAGATGACTTTCCGTCACAAGCCAGCTAACAAACTAGCCACACATTCAAATCAGCATTTAGGGCACACATTTGCCACAGAAGAATGCTGCCTGCATGTTCAGCTTGACTTTCTAAACATTATGTAGTAGACGACCAATTTCAGCGGCCCAAAAGCAAGACAAATGCCCAGCTTTTCACCAGTAAGCAGCAATCTCAAGTATCCACATTGACAAGTCCTAGGGGAGTGACTTTCTGGATGACCACCACATTCTCGCCATCTGACTTTACTGACTGCCCCCAGACATCCAAAGATGAAATAATCCAAATCCCAACACTTTTAGCCACAAAATTCTGGCATAGCATTTTAACACTTCCATATGCCTTTCAGAGTCTGAACTGGACAATGATGCATTAACAGGGATATTCCAGGGTTTTTTCCCCCCATATTTAACCACGCAGGAGAGGAACCATCACAATATTTCCATTATTTGTTCCACCCTTTGTTAATTGATATTCTTCAACTGCAACATAATTAAAATGGTCTGACTGTTAGATTACTAACTGAAAGCTCATTTGAGATATTTTATCCAAATCATACCCTGAAGGGATTTTATACAGTCAGACAGTTCTGGCTGCAAAGTTTTCAAGAAAAATCACTTTGTTACAAGCACTGTATGAAAGAACAATGGTTGGAAGTTTTATAATAATCTACTGAATAGTAAAAAAATTCCTAGTAATGAGATGGATGCTACTCGCCAAAGAAGATGCTTATGTGCTTTCACCATAATAAATCATCAGAAGTACAGTTTGTATGACAACACAGGGAAATTCAACCAGCTCTTACAAGACATGATGAACAGGAAGATAGATCTTTTGTAAATGAGGGAAACAGATATTTAGATTGGAAAAAAATGAAGATCACTTCTTAGCCACAGGTCCAGAGTTACGAAATCGAAGCAAAGCAAACATTTGAAACAGTACTTCAAGAACACAAGACCACCTAGATATTCAGAAAATCTATCTGGTGATTTTCAGAGAGGAATTAATAATCCCTCAGAACCCTCAGAAATGTGTTTCCTTAATTGAAGAGTAGCAGGTAGTACAAAAAACACTTTCTCAAAGCATGTATTTATCTGCTTAGAGTCACCTAAGAGAACGAAAAAATTCAAAAATAGAAATTCAATTCTCAGTTGCATCAGTATGCTAGAATACACAGGAACCTTAAATTTGGTAACTCCATTGTTTTGAGCCATTCAGGTGAGAGTGACAAGCTGCTTGCAATTCTCACCCCATGTGAATGGCAGAAGCAGTAGCAAGAAGCCTTTTCCTTCTCTGACTTACTTAAAACCAAAATACTGCAGCAGGCTCTGCATACTGGGTTGCACAGATGCAACTCACCCTTTTTGACTACCTGCTCAAAAAGGCAGAGCATAGAGCAGGAGGAGGCACTGCTTTCCCCAGCTCACTCTCAAGACAGAGCATGCGGTGAGGCTGAGACATCTTCCCTGAACAGCACAGTGCAAGTCCTCCGCCATTCCTAAAGCATGACGAAGGTAAAACATCATGAACTAAATTAACTCAGGCCTCAAAATATTTAGAAATGCTGTATCTGTCCCATACAGCTTCACACAACATCTAAGACTTGTAAACATTGGGACATAAAAGTCATAAGCAGTATTTTAATAGAGCCAAGACATAAAGGTTTGCACAATTCCAGGTTACACAATTCCATTCACCTCACCAACTCCATGTGTTTTACAGAGATTAACTAATCTGGAAGATATTCTTGTTATCAGTAAAAGACTGGGCTATTTACAGTCATTTTACAGACAGGTAAACTCATGCATAGAAAAAGATTTTCTCATGTCTTTTTCAAGAGCTCCTTGTAAACTTGCAAAAAGTATTAATCTAGAGCAAATCATCTTTTGTATGCTTTCTGATAACATTGATGGAGGATATGGATTCAGAAATGTATTATCTATCAAGAGGTAAACAGGGAATATGAATTTGGAAGGCTGTGTTCTCTATCCTTGTAGCAAGCCTAAGGACACACTTCCCTTCTTTCACTGAGGAAGAAACTGCATCGGTATTACATCAGCCTCATCAGAAGGTCAAAACATGCCCAAGGAAGTTCTTGAGCCTCCAACTTTCTGGAACTGTACACCCTAAGTTCACACTGAAACTACTTATTTCTCATAAAAGCTCTGTTACTGACTACAAAGAGAGCCCTTGACTCCAGGTCAACCTATTACTGTGGCCCTGCCCAGGGCTGGCACAGGTACCTTACCTATTTCTCCAGGAACACGCTTGCCACTGAAGCAAAAGCATACTGTGACATTGAGGCAGTTCACCGGCTGCAAGCCATCATGGCACTGAGGAGCTGTGATATTGATAGATACAGGCAGGAAAATGGAGATGTCCATGGTAATAACAGGCCTGGATCTGGAGATCAAAAAAGAAGTAGAATTGAGTGACCAGATGGAAGTTCCAAGCCAAAGGAAAAGAAAGTAAATTTGGTAAACTACACAATTTCAAGCAGACAGGAAAAATAAGAGAGTACATTTGAACTGTAAAAAAAAAACCTAGCACTTGACCAAGCTGGCAAGGACTACTAGCATTTAAATTAAAACAGTAATATCACCTTGAAGTTCACTGCTTGGATACAGACTGCAGGCAGGCAGCTAGGGAAACCAGTAATGTGTAATAATAATAATAATCATCATCATCATCTCCACCAAAAGTTACATAAAGCCTAGCTGATGACTGAAGAGGATAACAAAATTAGTAGAACAGCAAACAAGAACAACAATTCATGCAAATAAGAGTGGTTGCTAACCATGTTGGATGGTCAGGGACAGGTAGGAAGAGACCATAGGTTTCCACAGAATGGTCTACAGTCAAATTTGTGACCTGAAAGTCAAGGAGGGAGCACAGGGGTAGGAGATGGATTCATACATAATTTTTCTGATGGTCTAAGAGGGACAACAGACACCATGTTCATGTTTTCTGGAGGAGGGACATTTGGCTAATTCCCTCCTGGCAAGTGGCAAGGATTGAATACTCTTCACACTGCTGAACTGTGTTTAGTGTTGGAGTTACCCAGTGCACTGTGAACAAAAGCTTTCTACCCTTGTAACTCCAGCACCAGGTTATTGCTACCACTACTCCTGGTTGAGGGAGACCTCAGCCAGAACCGCAGAGTAAGCTAAGTGCCTTAAGGCCCAGGTGTGTCTTGTTAAGGAAACTTCCCTGTCTGACCATTCAGAGGCACTCACACAGTCACACTCACACCACCAGAGATTTTAACTGCTGAGACCAAAGCCCTTTTGCAGTGGCTCCAGCGAGCTTGACTCCCTATACACACCACCCTCACGTAGTCAGACCGTGTTTCCCATAGTTCCATAAAGCCATTTATTCACAGCAAAGTAACACAGAAACAGCTCTGGGAAGGCATCCAGAACAAAGGACCCCCGGGCTTTTATACTCTCACACTCCAAGCAAGTCTTCACTCTTCCTTGCTCTTCCCTCCTGAGTCTCATCTCCTGCTGTGTTTCCCAGTATCTGGTCACCTGGCTGTGCCACAGCTCCCCATGGCTTTTCTTATGCAAAGAGTCAGCGGTTCACAGCCTCTTGCTTCAGGCTCACACCATCCAGAGCTCAATTTGCAGCTCACACTGCAGCCGTGCCTGAGATACCTACTGAACATATTCCTCAACAATTTCCTCTTTCACACTACACAGAAGGTCCAGCAGCCCAGAAAACCAGACTCTCCTGAGCCATCTCCAGCCCAGGACTTCAGCCCAAAAATTCAGTGTTATTCTTCCTGGTTTCAGTTCTGTACATGATCAGCATGAACATGTTCTTCCAAAATCAACTACAAGAGTAAAAAAAATGTGCAGCAACCAGCAGATTCAGGTCCAGGGTAGTCCCAACAGCCATGCAAGGCCAGAGCTTGTAAACCACTTCAGAACTATCACTCCACAAGCCACCTAATTGAGAGGCAGGGGAGAGGAAGGAGAAGAGAGCAGGGGCTGTGGTTACACGTAATTTATATCAACTGGAACAAGATTCACATCAATCTCTAAGACAGCTGCTCAGACTCTTTTACCACAGCCTGAAATAACGGTGCAAGTTCACATTTTGAGACAGAGGATGAAGATAAATGCTAGCCCTAGAAATACATGCGGTGACGGAGAAGGAGAAAAAAGAGTGAGCAGTCATTTCACACCCACGAAAAAAACATTCTTTCTGAATGTTTAGGGAGACATAAAAGAGTAAGAGCTATAGTTGATCTAGAAAAATATTTCTCCTAGAAAAAAATATTTCTCTAGCTATGATGCACTGTCTGATTTTTCCTTAATGTCGTCTCACTTGGTTATTTACTGGGGAAAAAAAACCCAGTGCATCTGTCAAAGGGCCATACACATGTGAGCGATACAATGCTGATGATCTGCCCCAAGTCACCAAAGGCTTCCACCAAAGTCTTTAAATATCACTTGGCAAAACATTTGTTGGTTTTGGCTAAGGGACGTCACAAAAGTGGGAGGGGTAAGAGGAGGAGAAGAAGAAGCTGATTTCTTTATCCTAATCTGAATCTTAACAACAAGAGGGACACACGGGAAACTGGCAGTAGCAGCAATTAATCAGGCTGCCCACAAAGTCAGTCAGTAATACACTAATTTTCTCGGAAATGCACAAGCATGACTGAAAACATGGCCAGAGGTCATCGTGCTGTTCAGAAGACTTGCCCACCTGCCATTCTGATCATCAAGGGTATTTCTTCCCCTTCCTTTGCTGTTTTTCTTTTTCTTTTGTGTAACTCATTCCAACAGAAACAGAGACAAGTTTTTCCTGCTTTGAACAGGAAGGAGCTGGCACATCTGTTCTGCAGCAGCATTTGTCTTACCAGTGTCACCACATCCCTGTCTCTTCCATTAAGATACTGGAGTTCCTAGTAGTGATTTCTATTCCTAATGACGTCTAAGTATTGAAAGGATTTCTTTTATTAAATATTAACAAGTGTAACAACAGACCTACTGTCAAAAAAACTCTTTTCCCCAGGTCTGTGCACCTCAAGCTCACTCCTACTCTAACTCTCTATCTGGATAATTTGGTGAACCAAGACATCCCACCTCTTTCTATCAGAGGGAACAAGCAATTGCACTTAACTCATAAACTTGAAACAGCAGCCCAATTCCTGTGTGCATTGAAAATGCATTCGTATTTCATTTCCCTGAAGACTCTTACTTCATTCGGCGTCCTATTATAACTTGCAAAATTACATCCTGGCATCACACACAGCTCATTTTTTGCTCAACTGCGTTCCCTTAAATCACAATTTATTTACTTTATATAAACGTAAGAATAATAAAGAAGCCTTCTCACAAGTTGGGAGTGACCTTGCACTGAGATTCAACACATCTCCCTCTGGCTCCAACTCTTTTTCTTCATAGGCCTGGGTGTCCTATGTATTGTCACCCCTCACTCTGCTGTTTAAATTAGACTCTGCATCCTTTGACACCATTCATGTCTAAGGTTTTGCTTAAAAAGTAACCCAGTTTGCTTCTTCTGGCCACAATAAACCAGGGAGGAAACTCGAGTGGTTAATTGGTTGGGCTTAAGACCACATAAGATATAAACAGAAAGCAAAGAAAAAGAAGACAACAATGAATGAAAAATACAGTCATCTCACCTCAGAAGTACCACACTGTCTGACAGGAAGGCTCCAATAGTCATATCTGAAATTTTTGTAACATTGAGATCGTTACAAAGGAGACACAGAATTCAGTTCTTTCAAATCAGTTGCTAGACTACAGAGCATGTTTTTCTGACTTAGCCACTTGGCCACTTCAAATATCATTATGTCATAAGTATTATAGCTGGAGGATTAGGTCTGTGATGTTACTTCACCTCTGCTTCGTTGTTTGATTTTTATTAACACTACTATATTATTGTCTACTTTTTGGGTTATTTTAAGACAGCCATACTGACTGAGCAGTTTCCAAGAAACTTGCAACCTTGGTCCAGATACTGAATCTTCAATCACTGTAACTGCCAAAACACCTGAATTAAGTAATTGCCTAGAATTTTTATCAGAAGCTTCTAGTAAAAGAGAAAGGGAAAAAGCAGCTCAGCTTCACTGACCATCTACAATGGCAGGGACCAGCAACCTGGAAACAACCTAGCTCTGCTATTTTCTAGGCCTATTGCTGTTATTTTCCCCATGCTCCCACAGAGTAGCATACACACCTGGATAACCATTGCCATCCATATCAACTCCCCCGATATGGACTGGCCGAACATACGCAGCTTTGGGTTTACTGTTTGCCCAGACAGCTTCTGCAGTGGAAACAACACAAGTGAAATTATTCAGTAACACAGAATCCTCCAAAAAAACCCCACCAAACAAAAGAAAACCTTCAAGCATGATTTTCACGGTCATTGGGTCTCTTCTCCATGGGCTGGAAGTGTGGCACACCTGCAGTTTCACGCTTCACTGACGCAGCCCTGAACAGGAAGGCTGTCAACTGCAGGAAACCCTTCTGCTCTGGGCAAGTAGGAGGCCAGCATTGACTTGGATTAAAAAACACACCTGCATAACAATCCTCATGAGGATCCAAGCAAAATAAAGAACACATCAAACGGATTTCTGCAGAGGGAGAAAATTTAACTGCGCTCAAGAGATTAATTATTTTGTCTGGTTCTTTTGCATTACCTTAGTTTCTCTAAATAAAAGTTTCAAGGAGCATCTTACCAAAGTTAATGATTAATTGAAACACAAAATCCCACACAACCATTTCTTTTCACAAAGTTTGCTAGCTCAAAGTCAAAATGATTAATTTTCATCCCACTTGGAAATTCCAGTTTCCATCAGATATTAAGTATTTTCTGTCAGTTTGGAAGTTGTATCTCATTTCTGCCTCCCCAACTTTTAACATAGTTTCCTTTTCTAATTACTAACACAAAAACTTTCTCTAAATTCTTTGCATTGTAAATGCCTTTGTCTGAAGCAAATTAATATATCAAAATCTCCTTTTCTAAGAACATAATCAGAATGCTCCCAGCTTTCATGTATTATGCTGTGCCACCAATGCAAGACCTGAACTCAAGTTCTGACTGCAGAAGGTATGGACAGAGGAAACCTGTCCCATGAAGTCATTTAGAGGCTGTTGGTGGTGCTTCACAGCTTGTGACATGCAACCAACTTTTCCTGGCCCTCCCATAAAAGAATGTAACATTGGACAAAAAGTCAGGTAGAAAATTTATGGAAAAAAATGTAAGTTGAAGGGAAAAAAGATATCTTGACAGTTAGTTTAATGGGAAAACAGTGTTCCTACTTGTGGGCAGGTAAGACTGACAACTGGAATACCCATATTACACCTGCTTCACATTTTTAGGGGTCTCAGTTAAGGTGGTAAATCCCACCTGCAAACACCTCAGAAGACATATGTGGCTCTTACAGCCTAGAAGGCAAAGCAGCAAAAGCTGCTCTGCTTTTAAGGACCATGAATGAAAATAGCAGGGCACAAAGCCAATAAGCTGCTTCTACTAATAGCAGCCACTGCACCTGACGAAGGTACACAGAACTACACTGATCAGCAACTTAAATGAAGACAAGTGGGAAAGTGGCAGGGGGAAAGGCAGGACAGGAAGAGCTAACAAAATGAAAAGGGTGAAAATATACACTCTGCAGGGTCCCCCCCTCCACCTCTTGCAGCTTATTTAAAAAAGGAAATCTACAGCATTGAGATGGATCAGCAATATAGTAATAAGATACAAAAAGTCTTTCACCTCTGGGTTCAGATTCAGGGCAGGTAGGTAGAGAGCTGAAGCTGTTATGCAGTTTTGGTTGCACACAGAACATGAACTCGTGGTCTGTCCAGTGCCCTGCAGCAGACACCGGGAAATCGCACAGAGATACTGCCTGTAAGTGGTGCCCTCTTGGCTGCCTCAGGACATGGAACAACCATAGGAATGGTATCAAGGGTAAACAACTATACCCTGCCACCTTCTTGAGCTGGGTGTTTTCCCACTGACCAAATGGAGATGCATGTGCTGTGTCTGCTGGCCTTATTCCAGTGGGGAGGGAGAGATCACAAACAGGATGTGTTGCTTCCCACCCAGATGATCTGTCCTCCTTAAAAAATGTAACATTTTCCCATGAATGACAAAAAAAAAAAAAAATCAAAAAACTCCATCCTTTTCAGCAAGAGCTTGAAAGCTCTAAATATTCAACAACCAGAGAAGAACCTCCCAAACAGCGGCTCTTGGCAAAAAATGGGCAGAATCCACCACATGCCACACATTATGAATACTTATAAAATGTACTAAAGAGTCGCTTCCTTTTTTTCTTAAAAGCAGTGCATGCCACATCCATGGTAAAAGGAAGAAGGACTAAACTTTTATGGTCTGTTAAAAGAGTCTCCAATATAACCACTAAACTCTTTAATTCTGCTTAAATTGATTTACTGTGAAGGATCCCACCCAGCAACAAAACAAAACAACTAGAACTTCAAACACACAGAGGGAGGGAAGATTAAGGCTCTCTGAACAAAAAATTGTGCTAGAGAGAGACTAGCAGACACATGTTGGGCAGCATGAGCATAAATTTATCATCTCTACTGCCTGCCTACAGCAGCTAAATTGTACTATGTCATCCCTGCACAAGATGCTATAGCATATCCCAGACAAGATTTTACTTCATAATAAGTGGGTTGGGGGAATGTCTCCCAAGAATCTCCTTGAGACATATGCAAGAAAGCCAACGAGATGGGTAAAGAGGCTTCTGTAAGGTACAAAAGAAGACTTAGTACCTCCTCCTTCTCACAGAGTCGGCTTCTCCAGGAAGAACGTGTAACCCCACAACTCCACACAGGTCTCTCCATAATTTCTATGCTTAACCTCTCCAGGGTTTTCATTTCTCCTCTGCATCAGTACTATCTCTAAAAACTGACACTCAGCCCCTAAGACTCTATTTAAAGAAGATACAGCTGACAGCTATAACAAAAGAGAGTGAAAAATACCTCCTGACTAACATAATTTTACCCTTTAACATAGATACAGACAAACTTTGGGAGAAGCCATCTTCAAACCAAGGCTGAGAAAAGGATGTTGAGTTATGATGAGGCTACCCCTTCAGAACCCCTAAGTATGGTTTATTTCTGCATGCCCTGGGCAAGTGACTTCAGAAAGGTATTGTAAACGGGAGTGTCACATACCATAGAGTACTGAGGTATAATACCATTGGCATCCCCATGGTAAATGTACACTGCTCCTATGTAGTTATCCTCCTTAGGTGCTCCAATGGCAACATCTGTAAAACAGTATAGATTATAAACATTTCACAATCCATCCCACTAATCCAACTTTTTCCCAATTTTAGAATGCAGCTATCCATAGGAAAACAGATCCCTATGACAAAGATGATCAGCAGCTCCTGTGAACCTAGGTAGAAAGAACCTTGTTTGATTTATTTAAAAGCTCATGTTAAGATAAACTTAAAAAATACACAAATATATATGCATTTGCACACACATGTGGCCATGTTTCACAGAATCAGATGTTGTGCCTAATTAGAAACATGTGCTGTTATGTGTGCTTATTAACCAGCAACCATACTCAAAAAGTTATTGTAGAAACCTTTCATAACAAAATCTCCAACCAATAGGAACATCAGTTTTGTGAACCAGGACAAGACTGGCAAAATAATTACTGTAGTGCTACATTAAAAAAAAAAAATAGTTGAAAATCCAAGGCTCCACAAAGAGGCTGTGTATATTAAATGGATAGGCAAGAAGAGAAAAAGGCTGCTGAGGGTCCACTTTCAAAGTACATTTGATCCAATATAACTGCAAACTTTTGTGGAAAGCATGATCCCACCTCCTGTTCTCCACTTCTAGTTGGATATAGTGACTATTAAGCTTTTCTCAGTTGCTTCACACCCAGGGACTGATTCAATTCCCTCTGCAGTCCCACCATCACCACAACTGACCTACAAGCAGCAGCGAGAACACGCAAATGCATGCCCAAATACGGAGGAACAGCATGACCACCATTGGTGAGAGCAACCTGCAACGAGGCTGAGTTAGGTTTACTGGGATACTGTGCCCTGAAAGAAATACTGTGCCTGAAAGAAATAAACCCAGGCATACACTGACTAAGTTGGCCTTTGTTCAGAAGTCCTTCATCTGCACTGCCAGAAACCAGGGCAGAAAAGGTGCCAGCATCAAAACTTTGCTCTCACCTATTGCTATCACAGCATGGGGTCTCATGCTGAGAGGTCTGAGGAAGGAGCAGAGGGAGAACAAAGAAAAGGAGAGAAATTAATAGAGTGTATTCTATCAGGAGTGAGAAGCTACTTCTTAATTACACTACATGATAAGAAATGAGACTATGTCAACAAAACCAGAAAGGCTTGAAAACATAAGGAAATAAGAAAGAAAAAAGAAATCAGACATAGGTTTCTGTTTTCTCTGGGGTGTGGGTATCTTCAGCCCTTTATAAATCACACAGGAAAGAAGAAAATACAACAGCATGGAAAGCAAAGCAATTAATGAGATTGAGGCGTGTCAATGAGATTGACCTGCACAGACATGGACTAAACTGACATCAAGAACAGTCAGCTACAAAAGGCTTTAGCACACAAACCCTACACAAGCACATTCATTTATCCTTAGTTTGAACCCAGGTGCTGGTCAGATCTGGAGGAGCAATGGATGCTACGCAGCACTCAGCCATGCAAGACTGGCGGTGCTGCCAGCTTTGCTGGCGCTGACGGAGAAAAGGCCATGAAGGAAATTACACTGACCTGGGAAGCCATCGTCATCAATGTCGCCAAGGGTGGCTATGCTCTCTCCAAAGTGTGCATTATAAGCGCTGTCACCATCCAAGATGAGCTGCTCTTCCAGCACTCCCTAGCAAGCAAGAAATAAAACAGGGTCAGGGAAATGGTGCAATTCCCGGGCAAGGTAAGCCTTCCCCATGTAAGATGCCCTTGTGCTGTGAGAAGCACCTGGGGCAGAGTTCCAGCCTGCCTCTCACCCTCATTACACTCAGATTAGCTGGAGTCTAGAAATCTAATTTATTTGGTTTTTAAACCTTCTGGGTTTTAGTTTTAAAAGGGGCAAGGGAGAAAGGGGGAAAGAGCACATGGCTGATATAACTAAAATGCTAAATTAACTAAATAGTAACTCAGACATGTAACTAAATGCAGTCACAGGGATTGGTGAACACATGAAAGTTTCCAGATGGTGAAAATGTAACAGCTTGCTACTGGCCGATTACATCTGAGGAGTGAAATCCTCAGTCCAGACTTATTCAGCTAAACTCAGTGAGTCAAGGAATATTTTCCCCTAAGCAAAGAACACTTGACAATTGGATTTGAAAACATTTTGAGTATGGGACAAAAGGATTAAAGCAAAGTCCCCAAAAAGCCTTCTGAAATTAAGAATAAGGAAAGAGATTTAATGAAATAAAGAGACGGAGAAAAGTTCAGAATTAAGTAGCTTTTTACTCCTATGGCATGAGAAGCCTTATATGGCTTATATGGCTTGCCCACCCACCTTCTGGTCAGATACATAAGCTTTAGTTTCTTGAGTCTCCTCAGGGGAAAGGAACATTTCCACAAGAAAACAAAATTTAGTTACACAATCCAAGTCTGTACCCACCTCAAGGTTGTTTTGTTTTGTTTTTGCTTCCTTTGTGAATAAGAATAAACTACCCTTTGGAACATGTAATAAAATCTTTTACTTGGCTATGGGGAGTTGCTGACTTAAGAAAATCCCACATAATGAAAATAAAACACAACAGAGAAGAGACAGGCAGGCCTGTATGTGCGACTAAATTCTTTGCAGTCCTCACAGGAAAGGGCAAAACATAAACATTTTAAATGTAACATCACTGTGCATGCTTGTTTTATAGTGCAGTTTTCTCTGATCCTCTGCAACAACCTGTGAAGCAACCTGTGATTGCAGAATGAAAAAAAGTTTCAAATGTCCAAAACCCAAAATAAAATCCACAATCCAGTAAGTCATTGCTCATGGAAGTAATTCTTCATGCAGGAGTATAAGAAACTCATACTAGCTTCTTGACTGTTCTATAGAAGATATAAATTAACTCATGTATGCTCTCACTGTGAGCAGGAAATACTGGCTATTTTATTTTTGGCATTCTGGACCCAATCCTGAGGACCCAGCAGCAACACTGCAACATAAAAGGTGGAACCTCCTGAGAATAAAACTGAAAAAGTAAAGCTCATGTAAAGGAGTGATAATAGAAAATAAAATTACACCAAAAACATCTGTGAAGTCTCCTAAATGCTTGGACTTCTGGTGAATTTTAAGTCTAGCATAAACAAACTTAACGTTCACAAAATACTGATGAAGCCAAAGAATTTAATTTGAGTCCATAATAACTTCTCCTTTGAGACAGCAGCTTTGGGACCTGAATATTAAGTATTTAATAATATGTAAAAAACCATTAACTTAACAAGGGTCTTAACAATGCAAGAAAATTCAGACTTTTCCAAGACTGTTGTTAGGTCAGGTGAAATCCACCAGTACCAGCTAATAAGAACTTCCCCTAAAGTCTGAGTATGGGCCATATTATAAAAGTAAAATGAATTCAATCTCTGGTTTCTCTTTTCTTCCTCAATCCCAAGACATTTGTGTTCTAAATTGTGTTCTAGGTCTTAGTGACCCCCAAAACCACAAAGGAAGCTCAGTCAAAGCTACTGACTCTGAATTGGTTTTGGCAGCAAATTCACAAAAAGTCACAAATGCCACCAAGTTTCAACAAAAAACCAGACATCTTCTAAGACCTCCTCGAAAGATTCACAGACCTGTGATGAATGGGGGCTGGTGTCTGGGAATACCAGATGAGTCTTCCTGTGACTTCATGCTCTGCTAGAGACATCCAGAGCTCCATTTATTTGAGACATCAAGTTTCACCACGCAGTGCTGGAGCAATATAAGCGGTACTTTGCCCGAGACCCATGCCCTCATCCCTTACCAAGTCATCTCCTGTACATACTCACATTTCCTCTGTTGATATAGACTGTGACTTGACCCTCATCTCTGATCTCAGAAAACAGAGGTGCTCCAACCAGCAGGTCTGACAACCCATCAGAATTCAGATCAACTGCACATAAGGAGGAGCCAAAGTAAGAGCCCATCTGTAACCAAGTTGAGTCACAACAAAGCATTCAGTATCTGCCCACACACAGGAGGAAATCATAAAGGCGTGGCTTTTGTTTGTTTTGGTTATTCTTTTAATTTCACATGATGACTTACTGCTTTATCACTGACAAGCACTCCTACAGAGAAAGCTTTGGGAATAATTCTGGCAGGAATTAAAACACTCTCTACAACAGTGCATCCTGGATGTTCTACCAACAGAAGTTATAACCTGGGTCATGCTTAAGTGAGACAATTAAACAGCTTTCTCAGACTAGCTTTCTTGTCAAATGCTTAAAACTAGGAAGCGGTGAAATGAGTTTCCCAAATCAGACCCAGCCAGTGATTATTCACGCCCAGTCCTTGAAGCTGGATACCACAGATGATCTGGGGATACCTTAAAGAGATAGTGAAAGGAAAAAAGTAAAAATAGGCAAGAGGCAGGGTATCCATGAAAACAGGTATCTAAAATTGACTCTTCATTGTGGACTATCTTTCCTTGTTCTAGTTGTATCTATTTGTATCAAACACTATTAATAGAGTACCAGTTGTGGGCCTTGACCATAACCTTTCCTCTTATGTACAAGGCAGGTGAGTTGATACAGAAACAAGACCTTCAATAAAAGCTTTTCAGCTGATACACAACAAACCTCAGCCACTTTTAATCTCCACTTATTATTGCTTGATAAACTTAAATGCTTAAAATTAGGAAATATATTAATTTCTTTCCAAGGGTTTTTATATGGGTGAACATTAAATGCTAATCTTCTCCCAACCAGCACTCACATTACAAATTTCAAAAAACATTAAACTCATGAATGAAATCAAAAGCAAGAATGATAATTCACCCTTATTTCATCCACTCCTGCTCAAGTAACACAAGGCATACTCTTTGAAACCAACTACAAACCATAGTCTCAAAATTAAAAGCAGCTCCCACAGGAAAATGGGAAAGATACCATTTCATACTTGAAATTGTGAGCTGTTTACCAAGCAGGAAACACTGAGGTTAAAGAAATCATTATTTAGGTTCAAAAAAATGAACCACATTTCTTGAATGCTTTTACATTCCTCACTGCAGATCTCTGACCTACTGCCTTCCAAGCCTGTAAGTTTATATGTATGAGCCACAGCTATTGGGTATGCTAGAAGATGGGCAGCAGCAACTCTATTCTGTGCAGTCTGTAAGATTTAAAAGTTGCCAAATATATCAGGCAGGGGAAAGTGAAGGATAGCCTTTCGGTTTGTTAATTAAGATTTTTGTTCTTGTGTGGGACTAAGGTCAGACCTCAAACATCATTTGAATCCAGTTATTTTGTAGCAAAGGTTCCCTTAGGGATTTGTATTTGTTTATTTTTTTTTAATCCACTACGGTTTTTAAAGAAATTTCTCATGGTTAAAGAACAAAAGTTATGAAACGCATTTCACTATGTATTCAGGCAGTTTCCAGGGAAAGGGAAAAAAAAACTGCAACATGGTTATGTCTGCAGCATGGGTGAGTTCACAGTGCTGAAGTTTGCATATTTAACATTTGGAACAAGGTCTTGCATTTTCTTCTTTCCTGTCTCCATTAGATTTCTTAGTTCAGCCTCTATCAATAAAAAAGGAAGGAAGAAACTGGCCTGCTGTTAATGTCTATCTACATCACTGGGAAGGATGTAGCATTTTGTGACAGCTTATTTCCAGGCAGTGCTCATTGCTGAGCAGGTCTGGTTATGTTTCTACCACAAAACAAAACCAAACAAAACCCCAAACAAAAACATACAAAAATCCAATTAAAAAACCAAACAAACAACAAAAAAGGTGATTCAGCACAGCATTCTCTTTAAAATAAAACTCTCAATTGGATTTTAGAGAATTTGTAGAAGAAGATGCTAATGGGAATGAAAGAGATGACAGCCTAGAAGTATACTTGAAGGATGTAAATACTTGATTAGTTAAGTTATACATAACAGTAAAGCAATTAAATTGAAAAGGGAAAGTTTTTGCCTGAAACCTCAAAACCTCCTGATAGCTCTATTTATTAGGCTGAGGAACAGCCAGAAGCACATCCTTAGGGACATTTAAAACTCAACAGGGAAAGAAATGAACAGGAAGCAGTCAAACACAGTAGATGCCCTGGATGAACTGGGAGGTCTTTGCTTTTCAAGACGTCTGTAATTCTGCTAGTGCAGTAAAGTAAAATTTTGGAGAGGCCCTAAAACACAAGTAACACCACCCACCTACGTATCCTTGCAGTTTTCCCCTATTCCAGGCAAGTTTTTAAAGACTGCCACTGTGTCTTGCTTGGAAAAAATAACAAAACGCTCCCAGCTTCCAGTACTTCTGAGGTTGGCAGGTCTTCCTAGAGCCAGAAGCCACCAGTAATCTTTTTCTTCTGTACTTCTGCGATGACTCTGCCATTATTTCCCCCCCACCTCTTACAGAAAACACACATTTATAAATGCTCACCTTTTTTCCTGAAGCCTGAAAAATTTTTATTAGAGAGCCTGATCGTCTGTCTGTTCTAAAAATATAAACCTGAAAGGTGAAAAAAAGAAAAATGTTAAGCAATACTAATTATGAAGCACATAATGGTACAGCACTGGTGTTTTCTAAATAATATCTAAATCATGATCATGGCCACGGCTATTGCCAAGATCCAACTTCACGACCCCTTTATTGTTCAGTCTTCTTTTAAAAGATGAAACAGAGTTCCCCATTGTGCTGATGAATCACAGGCTTCTTCTCATAACAAATGCTTGAATGTTATCTTGTTGCCTATTTTTTTTTCATATGCATGTGTGTATGTGCACATGTGTGCATTTAAAAGCACCTAGCAAAGCAACTTTCTAAATCTCAAACAAGTGGCATCTGGAGACTGTCTGGAAATTAGCAGGGCAAAAAACTGAGAAGGTATAACCCTGTTGTCCTTCTCTTATGTAGCATTCCCTTCTCAAGGCCATGTGCCTGCATTACTGCACTGCAAACTTCGCAAGGCTTTAGCAAAGGTCAGAGGAGAAATCCTGATCACGCTACCAAAGGCACGTACACTGCCTGTATCTGAAACAACCTGTAAATTAGAAAACTGTTCAAACATAGTCTCATTCCTCATTTCCACAGGAGAAACTGTTTAATCGGGAATTCTTGGGGATGAAAGTATTCATACAAGTTCAAGAACAGATCTTGTAACAAAATTTAAGATGCGTGGCTTGTGGAAAGGGATTCCCTTCAACATAAAGGCTGGCTAAATCAGCCTTTGAGATTCCTCCAGCATTTGACAGGTTCCCTCCCAGCAGGTGCTCACAGAGTTTGCAAGACAGAGGATCCTTTACTTCCAAGGCTACATGGAGAAGCCAAGCCCTTGACATAGTTGAACATGTGGTGAGTTACTAATAGGTGGTGAGACAGAGTTCAAAGCTGTTTCCAGCAAAAAACACAGCATAGATTTACTGGACAATCACCCTCTATATAAGTAACTCCTTATATAAGCATTTGCAGTGTCAAGTGTAGCAGAGACAGCACATTGCCAACTGTCAAAACTCCAAACCCAGTCTCAATAATGATGCTTTTGGTGACTTCAGAAAAATTATGAAGTCTCATTAAGAATCCCTGGCTCTACTTTCAGTGAAAAAGTGTAACAATGCTAATAACTTTCTATCAAGGAAGTGGAAAGGATTAGCTTTTTGGAGGGTATGGAAAGCACAACAGGACTGCTTATTGTAATGTTCTGTATTCAGCACTGCTTACCGCCACTTAGCCACGTGTTCCTGCTACCTACATCCCATGCTAAGGGAGAATAACGTGAGCTTTTGCAACCAGAGCAGTAGTCTTAAAACTGCAGGAGCAGCTGCTTTCTCATGGATCTCATGTTAGCAGCTGGGCTTTTTTTCCTCCCTCCTCATACAGAAATTAAGTTTGTTCCACAGAGAAAACAGGCTGGAAGGAAGGTGCATTGCAGCAGCCATAACAGAACACCTGGGATAAGGAAACTACATCTTTCTCATGCACATCTTCTCAATAGCAACTGCAACACTGTTATATCCTGTATCTCCTAGTCACGCCAGATCAGGTATACATACCAAGTTCATCCTCTAATTTTATCCCATTTTCCCCACTCGCACTGCTCCCCCCTGTTACATGGCTACCATGAAAAATAATCTGCCTAAACAGAATATTGTTCCTGGTACTGAAGATGGTACTGAAGATCTCTCACTCCTTGTTACGATTCAGGTACAACTCATGTGACTACAGAGCAGGAGAGCCAGAGGGAGGAAGATGGAAGGGGGCTGCAGGACATCTTTGCTCAAGCAAATGGTGGCAGCAGGTCCCAAAAGGATTGGATTTTGAACAAAGAGGGGAAAAAAGTAGATCCTTTCCATCCCTTTCCTCCCTCTCCTCACTCCTGCTTTTCCAGCTTTGGTTTAGTAGAGTTTGAGGGGTAGCAGTTCTCCCTCTCACCCAGTTTCCCCCATAGCAGCTGGGTACTCAGCATAGGAACACAAGGCATGCCTAACTCACCAGTCACTTCCACCTAGCCCTTCACTTGCTTTCATCTTTGGGACATTGAACATATATATGCCTACAGGAAAACCTTTTTTGTTTCTTTCCTTCTTAAGAGACTATCTCCAAGATTTTTAAGTACAGCTAGCAAAAACCTAGATTCTAACCCACAAAACACCAATGTATTATGAAGCTTTAAAAGTACCTAAAAAGTACCTTTTCATGCTAATAGGTGTTATCTTGAAGTAAATACTGAAACAGGCAAATGTATGAAGAAAACAAGCAAAAGACAAATTCTCTTTTCAAAGTTTTTTCAGTTCTAGGAAAGTTTCAAGTAATACCTAAATGTCACAAATCCTAAACAAAAGCAGTGTGAAAGAAATGTTTGTGTCTCACTAAAATGGGTATTGTAAGGATTGGGTGGGAAAGAGAGGAGAGAGGGGTGAGGGATTTGAGGCACCAGGAGGTACAAGCAGAGAAAATTTCAGGACTTCATCAAACTACCTCACCTCTCCCCTGCTCAAAACTACTATGTAGACAAAAAACTTCTGGCTTCTCATACATGTTGAAACTGCATCAATATTATGCTTTTTACCCAGTTGAATCTGACCACATTATTGTTTGACAAAGAGACACACCTTTCCGATACCTCCATCCTGGGGAGCTCCTCCTACAATGTCAGTGGTAGTTGGCTGAGAGAAATGACCTGCTGTCACCGCATATCCTGAGTGGGAGAGGAAATAAAAAAATTAATAAATAACCATGAAAGCAAAGAGCCCGAGAAACAGGTCAGCCAGCTGGATCATGCTCACTGGGTTTCACTGCTCCTGGGCTGCACACAGTTAGCGTTCAACAACTATTCTGCTCAGAATGTACCAACACTTTGCTCAAAAGCTCATGGGGATGGGAAGAGACAGTACACCCTCCAGTGCTCTTGCAAAAGCTGAGAGAAAAAAAGCCATGTATGTGGAGATGAGTAAGGGACATGCAGAGCTGGTAGTGGGACCAGTTTGCCAATGGCAAGTCAAGAGAGGGAAGCAGTAAAACAGGAATAAGCACACACAGAGAAAGGAGACCACATCACCACAGGGAAAATATCATGTCAAAGAGCAACAGTCCCACAAGGACCAGAGAGAAGTGTCCTCCTTTGCCTAAAATCACTGCCCAGGAAGCCTTGGAAAATTATGTTCTTTTTTGATAGGGGAGAGAGCAGAGAACAGGAGGCAAAGAGGCCAGAGAAATTAATGGCTTTAAAAGATTTTTGCCTAGGCAAGAAGAAAAATGGGAGGATAGATCAAAGAAAGAAGAATGTATTTGAAAGAAGATCAAAGATTCAGCTTTATTTGATATATTAAAATAACATATAACAATATTATATATAAAGATAAGTAGAGTAGCTTTCCTTCTAAGGCTCTCTTGTATTCGCCTTGCTCTTCTGCCATAAATTGTGATGCTCTTGTCTACATGGTAAACCCTATAATTCAAGTCTATCAGTGGTAAAATCTATTTATGTCTGCAAATAGCTAAACAGACACCCTTCATTAGCAGTACCTTCCAAGTGGTATTTTTTTAAAGACTAAAGGTTAAGGGGAAAATGGGAGGTCAGTGGCAGACTTTAGTCAAACAGTATCAAACTGTTTGTAATGCCCTCTAAGTCTCAACAGTCTTAGGAACTGCAGATTAGGTGGAAGCCTTTAAATTAAGTATTTTATCTGGTTTTAGAGCAAGTAAAACCAATTGAGTTAACAATGTACCTGTAGCCAAACCTTTCACAACTTCCTTTTGTTAACAATGACACATTTAGACAGCGTTATTTTGTTGAAATGAATTTGTATCTGGAATACACATTCTGTAATTAGTTGTTGTACCCATTTTAAAGGCATGTATAAGCAGACACACAGTTTAACTAATGGCACATAATTTGCCTGTCACAGGGCAAAGGCAGGAATGTTAAGAAGCCCACTAAAATCCAATATGCTGTTGAGTTCAAAAGCCTTTTCTATATTATTCAAAAAGTTACAGGAAAGCTCGGGGTTTTTTTAAAACAAGGAAAGAGAAATGTAATACTCAATAGGCTTCTTTGCTTATATTTCTTTCCAGACAAGTAACACTTCAATTCAGACATTCTTCCTTTCACGTGTTTCATAAAAATACTCTACATCACCATAAAAAAATCAGTATCAGCTTTTTTATAGCATCAAAGCCTTGAAATATGTTGCTGGACTATCATCTTTTCACAGTGAGCATCAGAGAGCTGCTTACCAAGGTATGTGTATCGCCTGGCTATCACAGCATCATCGTTCAGCTTGTAATATGTGTTGTCAGTGAGATTTAGCACTTTGACAGTTCCTGTCCAATAATACGATCCTGGAGCCCCCATGATGACCAGCTCCTAAAACAAGAAAAATGGAAGCGTGTGGGGGAAAGGATGGGAGGAAAAAATAACAATCAAAACTGGACAGAAATACATGCTTTACACGTTAATGGAGAAGGGACAGGATATTTACTTAAAACACCAATTAGAAGTCCATTCCTCATTCTGTGTGCATGTAGAGAGTATCCCTCCTTCTGTCCAAACATGGAGGTCACTGTATACACCCTAGAGACACACTGCCCTTTTACGGTCCATTTCTGCTCAGCTGTTCTGCTGCAATAGAACACCCTCCTCAGTTTTACTAACCATCAAACTTATCCCTGCTAACATAGATTTCCCAAAAATCTCTCCACCTGCTGCCTTTCCCAAGCATCCTTCAGAAGACCCGAAGACAAAGCACTCCAGCCCACCCTGACGCACCACTCAGCTACAGATCATGCCCCGATGCTGGCTTTTGATTTTGATTTTACAACTGTGAAGCTAAAGAGGTGCAATTTGCTCAAGAAACAGGGTGTACATTATGTCACAGTTGGAAGATTTTGCCTATGCTCTGGTCTTCGAGAGACAACGTAGCTATAGAGTCATCACAGAATCATAAAATGTCTTGGGTTCATTACAGACAACCAGCATGATTTATCATTTTAAAAGACTGTAGGAATCAGGCAAAGATTGATCCAACATGAATCAAAAGCTAAGGTACATTTGCACACAAGACAAATTCAGAAAATGTTGCCCCAAAGCATCCAGTATCCTTGCAGGGAAACTTTACTCCTGCATGTGGTTTTGAATACCTCCAACAAGGGACCAAATTAAGCCTGAGGAGCATTAAGCCTGAGGAGCATTAAGCCTAGGTAAGTTCTCCATCCCCAAAGACACATGGACAGCTGCTTTGCCTCACATCTCCATTCAGTAAGGCCGTGGATGGACTCCATCCTTGTGGGAAAATGCTATCACATACAGGTCCCCTTTGGGTGACCTGTTCTAGCTGGGATTCTCCTACAGGGATAGGACTGCAAACCCAACTAAAGAGCAGGATGTGCTTTGAAACAGCTTTTTCCTTGTAAGGGGCCATGCCCATGAGGTCAAAGGGTCATTTACTGATGGGAACAACTACCATCCACAGCACTGAATATATGGCAAGGGATTGCCTGTTTGACCCAAAAAGCCATTTATCTGCATTTCCTGCTGCCATCAGGCTGAAGCAATAAAGTTCAAAGATATCTTTTGAACTAGGGTAGCAAAGGAGGATTTAAGCATGGGAACAGAAACAGGATGGAAAGAGCAGACAAGCCAGGAAACAGCTGCTGCTAGCTGAACATCCAGTTACCAGATAGTGCCCCTGTGGCAAATTTGCCTGCCATCCCAGTTTACTGAAATGGCAGAAGAAGATTTCTGAGAGAGAAGACCTTTATTCTGTTTGTATCAGCCTTGACAATGCATTCCACAAATCAGTGCATATATAATTAGGAGTGAGTGTAGGTTCTTAAAAAAATCTAAAAAAAAAAATCCAAAACCAAAACCAACCAACCAATCAAAAATACACATACATACACACACACACACACACAAAAAAAAAAAAAAAAAAAAAAAGGCAAAAAAATTGCAACCCTGAAACATTGACCAAAAAGTCATGCATACATAAGGAACAAATTCATCCTTGACATAAATAAAACATGGCTGATAGACTTCTGTCCAGGAAACAATATGGTCAGGTATTTAGAACAGCTCTGGACCATATATTTGACCATCCTGTTTTTTCTCCACTTTTTTGCAACAAGGAAGTGTAGTAGAACTGAAAAAAAATGTTTATCTTCTGTATGTATGTGCATTATATTTACCCACACGTACACATACATAAACAAAATGATTCAGGGAAGACTGTTGTACATCATCACTTACAGAAAAGAGTTAACGATAGACACAGAAATAGCTCTATGCGAGTTTTGGGATGTACACAATAAGAACATCCCCTGAGTACATCTCCCAGAGTCAATACATTCATTCTTGTCCACAGACATTGAGAGACATATACATAATGTATGAACCACTGGGCAAGATATGGATGCCTGGGAAGCCAGACAAGGCAGGAGGGTGTTTGCTGGCAGGAAGGGACCATGCTCAGCGCTCAGCCTGCTGTCCAAGCCATGCTCAGGGGTCTCCCCCTTTGGCCATGCAGTGGGAGAGCTGCTCACCAATCCCCACCCTTCCATGCATGTGTCTCTGCTCACCTCGGTGAAGAAGCCTGCGATCCCTGCCTGGCATGAACCGTGCTCCTCCCCATATTTCTTCTTGTACTCTGGATGGGAGAAGGGAAGAAAACAAACTGTGGTCATCCCTGGCACAGCACACACTCTCCACCTGAGCCACTATACACACAGCCTGGAGAGACACCAGCATGCAGGGCTCCTGGGTTTTATTAGTGGATCTGCCACCAACATGCACCATGCGGCACACTCACCCACATTGGCAGGCAAAGCAAGGGGCCAGCTGGAGAGACAGCCTGACTGCTGCTAGGGAGATGCTAAACAAGCAGTTTCACAGCAGTATAACAGTAGCGGCATCACCCCAGTAAAGGTGTATCAGAAGAGGCTTCCATCCGTGGCAGACAGATCTGCCAGCTGGAAAGGCGGTAGCAAAAGGTGATACACATGTCTGTGTGCCACTGACCCTGCGCTAGGAGGTTTAACCCACAGGACCATTACTACCTCAGAGAAATAAAGTGATCTTCCCCCACAATGACAGTCACCAAAGCCCCAAGAAACATTTCTGGTGGAGGAGTGCTTCAGAACACCAGCCTCAGGAAGAAGACAGTGAGTGAGGAAAGAGCACTGTGTTCTATATGATCAAACAACAGTTTCATTTGCTGGATCTGCTGCTTTTCATGGCCACTTGCTCAAAGCTCCCAGTTCACAGGGAACCCACCAGCATCCTATAGGTTTTGTTTCTGTATTTTACGTAGCAGTTGTTTGCCCTGTCAAACCTGAGGAAGGTTTTTATTTTTTGATGAACAGGAAAAAATTATTTTTAGAAATACATTAAATTCAGGGCAAGGAGGAGGAGAAAAGAGGAAAAAGGAAAATCACTCTTTGACTTGCCTTAATCCAAACATTTTTCAGTTTAGGAGTATCTGAAACTTAGAGCTGGATCAGAACCTTTGTAGTTTTTTTCCAGGGCATTATTTTCCAATATCTACCACTTCCTGTATATTACAATAATTCAGGTTCCAAAAAAAAAATAATTTGATAATTGTGAAACTTTTAAATATTTTTTATTTTAAAAGCCCCATTAAAACTCACTGCTAAATGACAAAAATTTTAATAAAATCAATAAGCAAATTGCCTCTTTGAAGTCAAGCAAGGTCCTTTGAGTTGAATTTTATCTTATTGAAGATCAAAAGGAATTAATTATAATTATGTTCTCAGAGAATTTTTTCAAAACATTGTATGTAGACATATAAGCACACACCCCCACTCTCGCTTTTCTATTGTATATAGTCTCTTCCTAATACCATATGTTCAGATTTTCAGAAATTTGCTGAGGTCATACCAGTTGCACAGGGTGAGGTTCAGTTGGAGAGACCATGCAGAACAGAAAGTTGATCCACAAATTACAATCCAAATGCTTTGGTCAAGGCAGAGTCCTGCCAAAGCTGATGTGTGTCTCAGCAGACCAGGAAGGCCAGAAATATAGTTGGGTTTCCTGGTAGGAATGCACGATAACAATTCCACTTAGAACTGAAGTCCATATTTGCCCATATCTATTCAGAAACTGCTAGGGCTTTGAACAGCTAGCTCTCCACATACAGTCTCTCATAGAGCCAGGCAGTCTTTGCCTGAGGAAAAAACATTTTTTTATTGATGTTAACATTTTTTTAATTCAGAAAGCCCAGGAGAGGAGCTTTATCCCTCCAGGATTTCCTGAAAAATAATTCTGTGCATGCCCTAAAGGCCCTGCCTTTCCTACATCAGGATTCCCACCCCTACATAGCATGGAATACAGAAATGCAATGAGGAAGGCCAAGGCCCATTTGGAATTAAATCTGATGAAGAATGTCAAGGATAACAAGAAAGGCTTCTTCAAATACATCAACAACAAAAGGATACTAACAAAAATGTGAGCCTACTGCTCACATACTGTATGGAAACAGGGACCCTTGCAACAGAGGTTGCAGAGAAGGCTGAAATACTGAATGCCTTCTCAGTTGCCTATTTGGAAGACTGGGGTGACATCTGTTTTCTTCCATTACTCAGGCCTTCTTTGCTTCAGTCTTTACTACCAAGGACAGTGACATTTTACAAGTGGAAATGGAAGCACATAGTCCCAAACACCTCAGACATTGGGGCTGTTCGAGAATTTAAACCTCTACTGACACAGAGCAGAGATCAAGACCACATTTTGGGGGGGATCAAGACAGATGCAGTCCTCCCCAGGGAGCCAGCGGCCCAGTATGGACAGACACTGGGCTCCTGGATTCCAGCCTAACCCTTTCAGCAGAAAACCATCCCTCCTTGTCAGCCCACCTAACTCCCATCTGCAGTGGCATATGCCCGCCTCCACACCCAAGCAGGGTTCCTTTCCACCCATGCACCCATGGTCACAGCCAAGAGTAGACATCCATCCTGGACAGTCACATCTCAGCATCACCGACTTCTGTCTCCTCCCGAGGGCCAGGCTGCCTCTCACAAGCAACGGATAAACCCAAAAGGAAAGAAAACCAAGATTGCTTCTACCTCCCCTCCACCTCGGTGCATGGTACTGATACCTGTCACTTGTATGACACAGCCATCCATCCAACAATCCATAAAGTGAAGCAGTCAACTAGATGGAAATTGTGCAGTTATTGTATTAGCTCACAGTTTTTGCACATCTGAACAGCAACCTTTGCATGAGGTTTTAGATTCATTATTTTCCAGGTAGCCCCAGGCAGTAACTGCTGTCATGGACAGATTTGTTGTTTCCACACTTCTCTATTGTTCTTTCTTGTCTTCTGCAAACTGCTGTGCACCACCGTTTACAGAGACTGCAAGACACTAAATTGCTGCAGCAAGAGCTGATAGCAAAGTAGTAAGTCTGGAGGATGTTGCTGTCTGTGCAACTTTGAAGATGTGCCCTGAAGAGAAGAAGATGGTAGTGATTTGTAGCCAAGATGATCTCAAGTTACAGGTGAAGGTTGAGGAAGAAGTAATTGGATAAAACAATGCACAAATAAAAGGAATAAGCTCTGATGTGTGTTGTTGTTTGATTCTGAAGGCCAATGACCATCAACTTCTTCTCTGAACAAACCTATTTGCGAGTCTCTAAAACTTCAATGGCATAATATAGGTTAAGTTCCAGAGTGCAACAAAATCTTATACCTACCATCTTCATAGATGTAAAATATCATTTGCACTGAAGGCTTTTTCACTCCTCAGTGTTTCTACTCTATGAAGAAACAGTAATAACCTGTCTGACCTAGCACTGTGGTACTGAGTTTCCACCACAAAGCAGGGACATTTTGATGGTTCCCAGGAAACCAAAAGTGGTTTGGACTCTGTGGGAAAACTTATCCCTTTGGAAGCAAGGCATGTGAGCATGTGCTGTTGCCCTTATTTACTAACCAAAGAGACCATCAGTCTTCCCCACTGCCACCACTAATTCTTACCACAGCGGGGGAGGAAAGCACTCCAGCTCTCCCCATCGGCTGGACTGCCTCTCACAGTACACACAGTCACCCTTCTTTGCAAACTGAATGCGTTGGGAGAATGACGAGGCAGCTTTCTTTTTTGAAAGCCATTAAAACTATGGGGAAAAAAACCAGCTGAAAGCATTGACTGGAAAACTGTGGCTCCATACGTCAGCTATACCACAAAGGACATCCAGCTCATCTAAACCAGATTAGTTCCTACTGAGAGAGATTGCATTTAAATATTAGGCTTGCTTGTTGATCTCATTTTTTTCTGAACTGCTTCCAGACTTCCGTCACCCCTTTCAGGAAAGCCAGACAATAATAAGATGGATTGAGACTACTATGCTGTTGCACCACTACCATCTAGTCAGATAATTTCCATTTCCTCCACGGATGGAGACTGATGTGCACCCAGCCAGCCTGTACCCTCTGCCAGTTCAGGCTTATTGCCTTAGCAGCACTAACAACGGGGCTTCTGGAAGGGAGCGTGCTACAGTCTACACCTATTTGCACATGGTGAGACACTGGAACCTCATCAAGCCAAGGTTGCGGTGCAGGGTTTGCAGCCAGGGGTCTGGTAACCTCCCAGCAATGGCCACAGAGGCTCTCAGTGTAAAAGCACTTCAAACTTGACGCTTTGGGCTGTTCCTTAGCGTCAGTGGAGGAAAATTCCTTTGCTCCTTCCAGGAAGTGAAGGAAAAAAGTTACAAGGATGACTGCAAACTTATTTCACAGCAAACCTTAAATAATGAACTCTTCTGTGTGACATATCAGTTATCTCTCTCTTTGAGCTTGTTTTATTGAAATTTAAAGATTCGGGAGGAAACAAATGCAGCCAATCCCCATGAAACTGTGATTTCATGTCTGATGGGGTGAGGGAGGTGGGTGGAAATCACTCCCGAACTTTCAATTTTCACTTCAGCATGCAGTGAAATTAAGCCAGCATCTTACTGCACCAACCCTGCCAACTTTCCACTGGCTGTTCTGCATGTACTAGGCCCACACAATTCTATTTTCTAGCAATTCCTGGCAAATATCCTGTCTGATTAACAGCAGTTTTACTCCAAAGACATGACGCACAGATAAACACAAGCCATTCGTCTCTTCCAGAAACCACCTCCCTGCCATGGCTTCAGGAAAGACAATTTTAAGGCAGTGCAGGAGCAGTGACACAGGCTCAGAGGGAGCCCCAGCAGCATCCCCGTGTGTGTATATGCACCATAAAGTTAATACTGGATGATGTGCAGTGTATGGCCTCAGTGTGAGGCCTTATCCTGATTTTGCTGACAAGTAACAAGGAGGGCAGGGGGGCAAGGAAGTACAAGTACAGCAGGACAGTGCTCACAACAGAAAGGCTTACAAAGCCTTATTTGTACCCTGCTGCCCAGCAGTTGGCATGGCTGGGTGAAGACCCTCAAAACTTCTCACATGTCAAATAATGACCATTTTCAGGGGTGGGAAATGCTCAATGCACAAGTGCATGTCATCTCCAGAACATATGTGGGTTTGCAATGTCAGATCCTCAGGCAAAGTCCAGAGGGAGGTAAGGAGCCACCTCAGTAGAAAAAGTAGGCATGAAGAGGACAGAGTTCTGTCACAGAGCAGGCTTCACAGGCCCCTAGCTAGAACACAGCCACTCACCAGCAGCAGAGAAACTTTCCAGGACATCCTCTGCCTTATCCCTCTCCCACCTGCTGCTGGTTGCTACCAACTTTGGACAGGAGGGCAAATGGATAAAAGCAAATAAGTAAATAAAATCAGAGTTCTTGTCCACAAGAAGAACATCTTGTCCTCCAAACTTCCATGCTTCCTCAAGCTCCTACAGTCAGTAAGTGAAAGATGATGCCCAGGACAGAAAGGAGAAAGCAAGTGGCTGCTTTCCCCAAAATGTTTCTCTCAAGGCCAAGAAATCTTAGGAGATACCCTATCTTCTAGATACACTCGTGCCTCTAGTTTTGTTAATTGCTCTTGGTCAAGAAGACATTGCCTCCTGAAGTCTTTAAAAAAGGAAACACAATACAAGAGTCTCACATGCACCAGAGAGGGGGAAATTAAAATGCTGCCACATGTGATTTGGAGTAGAACAAACAGGCACAGCCATGGCTTAGAGCTGGAGCCGTCCCCCTGCATCCATCTCAACCCAGACCTCTAGAGGATCCCAACAGGGACCTTACAGCACCCAAAACACAGCAGCGATTTAGTATAAACTATTGCAGAAGTATCCCAAAGTAAGCAAAGCAAGCCTTCCCCCTGCCCCACCTCCTAATCCCCTGATAAATCACAGTGCAAAAATTAAAGTGTTTCCATACGATAGGCAAATTGGTTCATGATTGCAATGTAACGCAGTATTTTTACTCTGTGCCACAGTGAAGCATTAGAGGTCAAGCTCAAATCAATATCTTCTCATTATTTATGTTAGGAGAGCGCTGCTGCCTCAAAAACACAGTTCAGAAACTTGTTATTCCTCCAGTAAAGTGCAACCATGCACTTTACCACTCACAGGGTCCATTCAGTCATTGTGCTACTCTCCCAACTTCATCCAAAACCCAACTGCCACCCCAGCTGTGCCACTGGCAGCCACACATTACCAAAAAAAAAGGAAAAAGAAAAATATCAGTAGTAGTGAGTTACTGTAGTAGTTAGTGTATCAAGGAAAGTAAGCCCCACTTCTGGTCCCACAGTCCTTACCTTCATAGCAGGGCAAGAGCTTTCTCCCATTGGACTGCAGGTTGGGAGGAATGATGTTGCAGAAGCCATGGGGCAAGATGTACTCTGTCTCATAGTAGATGTTTTTCCAGCGGTGTGCACATGCCTGAATAGATCACATCACATGGGTTATTAGCCCACAGTCATAGAAGAGCCCCCTGACCAAGGCAGAGCATGAATGAACAGGACCACTCAGCATCACCTTTGCCCCACAACCCCACTGTGTTCTCTGTACATCCCACTCTTTCTAGGTAAAGTATCTTCTCACTGTTATTGTCTGCAGCTCATGACACTACCTGACCTGCCAGCTCTGATCTCAGTCTTCGCGTGTGCATAACTAGAAAAGCAAGAGGGCTCAGAGCAAGACAGAGCTCATGCTGGAGATTCCAGGATCTCTTACTCTGTATGAATCCTCATGGAGAGCAAAGCTTTTCTACCTAAAGGTGCATAACAGAACCTAGCCAAGCCAGACAAAAGTGGAAAAACAGGAATAAAGACATTGAGAATACTTAGAAGGTTACTAAGACCATATTAGAAACTTATCCCACCAGAGTGGGATTCATATGTGAATCAAAGTCTTGTTTCCAGCAGGAAAGGTAGCTCTTTCTGGTGACAGATGTGCTGAGACTTGCTTATTGGTAATGAATTTAAGTGAAAATGCCATAGATTTTATAGCAACAAGAGTGGCAACATTAACCAAGGTGCAGATGAGTTGCACAGGTTGAAGTGCCTTTCCCTTCACAGTGAAGAATTAAACCATTCTGAAAAACCAGACTCACCAGGACACTTGCTCAGTACAACTGCCATGCACAGGCACACATACAAGCAATGTAGAGCCTGGTTCACAACTTCCCACAACTCATTTGCTCCAAAGTTAACACTGCACTGCTGCCAGACAAAGCACAAGTTGCCTTATGCTCAGGGTTAACTTGGAACAAAAGGAAATGTAAAACAGCAAGGGCTTTGAACTTGAGCACATGCCGGGCCATATTTCCAGCTGCTACGAGTCTACACCGAAGTCAGTGTAGATGTGTCAATTTGTATCATTCACGGATTGTCCCCATGCAAACAGAGCAGCCTCTATGCTACAAGTCATCTCCTCCACATACTTTCAACTTTTCCTCAAAACTTTGTATTGGCCCCCTTCACAAACCCCACATTTGACCCCATCCCCCCCAGATGAGATACCTTCAGTTTTCTATCCCTGTGTGCTACCCCACTTTTCTGCCTCAGCACCTCAGAGCTGCCTATGGAAGCATATCCATGTTGATAAAAATTATATCCATCCATAAGGCAGGCACAGTTGTGTCACCTCTCCAGTAAAGGACGTGGGAAGTGTATCAACCACTGGGAAGCTCAAATCCAGCCATAAACAGAGGCCCCTTACCTCCAAAAACACATAAACAGGTAATACTACTCCCACAGAGAAAAATCAGTTGAGCAAAAGCCTGTTCTGTATTAGCAGTGCTATACTGGAGTTTGATATTTTTTGCTTTCCTAACTTCCAGCACTCAAGGAGAAGCACACACCTCCTTGAGATGGCTACCACAGAGGGACAGTGAGGGGCTCTAGGAGTTGTGGAATGCTCTACACCACACTGTGTGGGGCAGGCTGTCAGCCGTGATGCAAAGGATACTCCTGAGGGCACCCTGCTCCACAGCCAAATGCATGTGAAAAGTACTGCAAAGAGCAGCTTTGGAGACTCCCTTAAGTGCTTTAAGGAGGCTCAGTTATGATTTCAATCCCCATGCACTACTCATTCAAAATTCAACAGCAAAAAAAACTCAAACAGCATATGAAATTATTGTTTTCAGCATAACTGGGAAATAGTTTCTCTCCTGATGGATCTGTGCTGTGAGCAGAAATACACACATGCACAGCCCTTTCAAAGACAGTGCCATAAAGACAAATACCATTAAAGCCAATCAAGTCAACCCCAACTCTGGGTATAAAATTAAAAGGAAACAGACCAAGAGTATTTTTTTAAAATTATGGAAACATAAAGGATTGTGATATTGTAAATTCTTTGACATTTTGTATCTCGGAAACTGCAAAGGACTCTCCCAGAGGAACACAAAGGACGGAGTCAGGGAGAGCAGGAACACTTCATCACAAGCAGGTGGCTTTGCTCAGGAGTGAGGTACAGAGGCCAAGAAAGACAGAAGAATGTAAGGAGAGAAAAAGCTCAGTCTAGCACTTTTGGGCTCACTTACCTACTCTGTTAGGACTTGGATTTTGTTTGTCTTTTTTTTTTAATGATTGTTTTTCAGTACCTTCATCATGATGTGTATTCATTCAGGCACACTATAGTTAACCACTGACTGCCTCAGTCTGTGGACCTCCAAGGGATGAGCTCCACTTCGATTATCCGAGTCAGGGCTTCACCAGACTCCCCCATGCCACAGCTACAGAATTTGACATTTCCCAATGGACAGGAGTTCTTCTTCCTCTTCAAAATTCACTTCTCTGCAGCCAGGCAATGAGCACATTTGTCTCCCTGCCACAACAAAGCTTGTTCACAGCTGCTTTTGGTTTTCCTGTATTCCCAAAAGCGTTTAGAGCTGATTACAGTACACCGTCGCTACATCACCCAATGTCGCTGAGGCAAAGTGATGTGCTACCAAAGGTGGCCAGAGCCTTCCTTCTTTGATAGCACCTGTCTGGAGAGGTCTTTGGAACAGAGATGAGTCACCTGAATTTGATGCTGTGGAGCAAATTTTAATGTGTTTTTTTTTTTTTCCTAAGGTGACTGCAAACAACTGACAGCCAGTCTATGCACCCTATTTTACATGCAAGCTATGTGCATCAGCACACTTTGGTACTCAACAGCTGCTGCCAGGACGCAGGCTCCAGCTCTACCATGGAACAGAGGAGAAATTATGTTAAGCCTTGAAGCAAAATAAAATGCTTCTGAACAAAGTAAGTTATCTATTGATGGCTGACACTGCATTACCCCAATATAATGAATAGGCCATTTCAGAACTGCAGACACTTGGCTCTTTTACATGTGGCAGCCATGGGCTTTGCACCACAGGAAGAGCAACACAATGACAGATGTGGCAGGTATTTAGGAAGAACAAGACTGAAGGATGTGGCTTATCTCCAAATCAGAATGCACTGTCCCCGCTTCCTCTCTCAACAAAGGCAAAAGGAGGACTTTCACTGTTTCAGTTTGGAAGGACCTAGCAATCTCAGCTGTATTATTGCAGGACTGAGATTAATGCAAAGATGGAGTGATAGTATATCTGAGGACAGGAAACTTTCTTATTTAATCTTACTTCTTCATTTCTTCACATTCTCACTGTCTGATGCTTTCCTATTTAGTCTGTCACACAAACACAAAACTCTAGTTTAGTAACATCCTGGCACAATATGGGCTTAAACACAATCCACATTTTACCAAACACTAGCTAAAGCCCCCTGGCACACTCCTCAATTTCCCTACTGCTCCTTTCCACTGAAGCTGGTACTCTTATCAGGCAATTGGGGAAGGCTGATAAGAGAAAAATTTAGACCACTAAGCAGTTACAAAGCAAAAGCAACAACTTCTTTATACAATCTACAGTTAAACTGTGAAACTAGTTAATCTAACACAGGACCTCAAGAGCATGAATATTTCACAGAGGTGAGTACACTTACTTATGAAAAAAAAAAAAAAATCCATCAAGGGCTATTGACCACAAAGATATTAGTCTGACTTAAAAGAATCCCTGGAAGAAATGCAGTAAATAGAGTTGTAATGTCTTACAATACAGACTGCACACACTCTTAACTAAAGAGACTCATTCATGTTATCTAGTAACTTTGTTAAAAAACTAAAAATTTAGCAAATATGTCTACGAACGCACATTCAGATATGTTTTCTCAGAACTCCAGTTTCTCAAAGGGGCTTCAAAGAAAAGCTACATTTTAAAGAAATACTGATCCTTAAAATTAGAAGAGTACATGTATTAAAAGCCATCTGCTCATGGGGAAGTCACAAATCTTTTCCAGCAAGAAGTTATCCCAAAACAGAATAACAATGACCTGAAACAGCCAGGTAATTTCCATCCAAAAAGGAATCTGCATACATTCATTCCAGACTCTGTTTACACATAGAAGTGCACAGATATATAATTAGCGGTTGAAGAGCCAGTGCTTTGGTTATAAATATCAATGAGAATTATATATTTAAATATCCTCGAGCATCTGGACATGATCTACTTGGTGAGGGGCAGTATAATCTTGTCAGAAGGCTGGGTTAGGACTGCTTTAAATCAGTGTCACTTGTGGAGACATTTTACCAGCTTAATCTGCACTGAAATAAGCACATCCCCAGCTGCGTATTTTACTTTAGCTACATTTCACTTTTAACCTCCTTTATGTGTGAAGGTTCTATCCCTTCAGCCCCACTTTAGGGCCTCACAGCCTGCCCATGTCTCTCACCCTTGTAGCCTCCACTCAGCCAGCCAGCAAACAGCCCCGTCCTTGGTAGTTGCCCAGCTTTTTGCCCCACCAGCACTCCCTTAAATTGCTGCTTCTGTCTGGGGAAAGACCCCTAAGCATCAGCTGCAACCTCTTTCCCTTTGAACCAAAATACACAAAACCATTATTCTTAAGACACAATATTGGCAAAAATGTTTCAGCCTCAAAATGTTTGCCTAAAAAAAAGAGTATGAGCTAACTTCCAAAAATGGATTAGGATGAATTTGTCTAGTTCAGCCTGATGACTGGACAATGAAGAGGATGCTGTGTTTTGAGGTAGCATTATCCTCAGTGCAAGTTACTCCTCAGTTGTTGCACAGGACTGAGCACACGTATACCTCAGGATAACCCTTGAAAGTATGAATAGCTTACACTAATGATGAATGCCTTAATTTTGCGCTCTGCTGTATATGTTTATAGGGTATGTTATTTATACCTCTCTTTCTCCCCCCTTTCTCCTCTTATCCTGACCACATTTTAAAAAACCCAAGAAAAGTAAAGCTAGCCCCTATAACACTGGCAAGCTGTGCACAAAAAGAGAAGATGGGATAAAATATCATAGTACTGTCACATAAAGGTATTAAACCCACCTGGTCCCTTCACAGGGAAGACGGTGTGCAAGGATTTGGGGCATAACCATTTAGACTCTAAGCACATATTTAAAAAAATACCTTTGAGGAAAGCAGCTTTGTCCTCTTGCCTTATACAGGTGGCTGGCACAGTAATCACTGTACAAGATCTTTCTCACTAGCAGCTTTTTGACAGTTTGATGCCATGTACCAGGGTAGTCCCCTGTCTCACTGGAAAGTTGGGACCAACTGAAAGTTTCCTACTCACAAAGAGTAGTGTCTAGAACTAGACTGTTTTCAGGATTACTCTGATAATAGGAAATTAATATAAATAAATAAAAAATATAGCCACAAACACTCATTTTACATTTTTCCTTGTAAGTTCTGACACGTAATACATATGTTCAAGGAAAACAAGCATATTCTCTACATAAACACAAGCAAACTACAAAAAGAACAAACTAGTAGGTACCTCCCAGACAAAGTTCCATTTATTTGGCTCAAAGATATAATCCCTCAGGTTTAGGGAGAAGCCCTTGGGTGGTATGAGTCAGATGTGATGGCTTGGAATTCTCCCTCTATAAATTGCATTTTCTGGCTGGGGGCTCACTTTGCCTTCCACTTGAGGGAAGGGACTACAGAATCTGCTGCCTCTTGCTCTGGACTCAGTCATTCACTGCCAAACAATTAATCCTGACATGCTTAGCATTACAGTCAGACAGCAGCAACAGCTTTAATGGGATCAAAGAAAAGCATGGACTTACCAGCACACTTCCACCAGCCTTTGGCTGTCTAGCCAGGCTCACACCCATCCATTCATCATCTCTGTCTTCTTTACAGGTCTTTCCACAGAGTGTGCCCCGAGAATTGCCTACAGAAAGACAGGAAAGGCAGCAAAGCAAGGAGGCATGACTTTTAAATATCCACCAAAGAATTCTGACAAGAAAAGAGATTGCCCTTTATACATCCTATGGTGCTTTTCTTTCCTCCTGATTATTAGTTCTTGAATGCATTAATCAGGACAATGAATGTCCACAGCTCTACTTGATTAAACCATCAAATGATCAAGTTAATGGGAGAGACATCAGATTGCCTCCAGGATGCAATCAAAGCAAAAATTCCTCTTGAAAATGAGATAGGGAGCACTTAAAAAAATAATGAGGATGAAATCTTTAGTCCTGTCAGGTAGCATTCACAAATCCATGATAGTTTACATTACAATAGCAGTAATTACAATTACAATTTCTGGGAAGTACAATTACAATAATTAGCCAAAATGCTGCTTTAACACATGTAAGCTTCATGAACAGAAATTCTACTTGACTCAGTATAGGTATGAAAAGATGAACAATACTAACATCCCTTTTTTCACATGCAGAGAAAGCAACATGTCACCAAGAAAATCAAACTATTAAAAGGCTTCAATATTCACCAACATTATCCAGCATGAGATTTTAAATCAGAATTTTACTTTAGGACTCCCCCTTCCTCTGTACATTAGAGAAACTGAAGTCAATCCTGACCACGTGCAATAGTGTACAAGCACATCTCTTACTGAGAGCATGTCATCACAAAAAGCAAACTCAAGGAATGATTTGCTGCATTATGGGGAAACCCACTGATTCACCAGATTACTAATAACTCCACACATTATGAGGGCAATATTTCACTGCCTGGGGTCATCCCATGGCCCCCTACTTCAGCACTGCCTGGAGTAGGCAGCAGCACTCCAAACCACTCATACAGGGGGCCACCAACACACTATAAAGCCACACTGAAGCAGGTGAAGAAAAGTCAGCAGCTTAGGGTAAGCAGGGAAAAATCCATCTTTACTCATTGGAAAAAGCAAGAAAGGCCACTGGGAGGACACCAGCACCAGTTGGGATTTTTTTGTAATGCTGAAGAGAATTAGACTCTTGCTACCATTGCTCAAAATCCATCAGGAAAGGCTAATGGCTCCTTGTCACTGTTTTGGGGACAATTTGAAGCATTGCTAGCCATATGGGTTGGATTTTTTTGGGTTCCTTCCATCTGCCCCAAAGTATCATAACTACCCACCTCGTCCCATATCCAGTTCTGTGCATCTTCTGTCAGGGTTGGTATGGACTCGACATTTAAACACTGCTCCTGGGGACTGAACAGAGGTGCTGTATTTAGATTCTGCCTTGGGAGCACCAACCAAGACCCTGGAAACCAAAAGCAAAGTAACAAGTGATTAATTTCAGGAGAAAAGAAACCAAACCAACCAACCAAACACACCACCAAGGCTCCCATTGCCACAGCTTCCTCAGCCAAAGCACTTTTCTCAGTAACCTTGTAAAATTGTGATACTGACTCACAAACTGAAAACACCACATACAATAAAAGCATTTTTCCACAGTGAAGGCATAAATACTTTATCAAATTAAATTTCCATTAGGATTGTAACACATTTAAAGTTACACACCCTCATCACACAACCCCCAAAGTATTTAGGAAAGCATTAGGATGGACAGCTACATCCCTATCAACCCAGAGTGATATACACACCCACAAGAGGACAAAATCTGAAACTGCATGCTCGCAGAGCCAGCCCAAGATTTGTAAGTTGGTTTAGGAAGTGGAGGCACCCCATTCTCAAAGCAATTTTTATTATGACAGCTTTACAAAAACAACAGCAAAAACTCCCAAACAGTGATATAAGCAAATCTCTTCCACAATGTATTGCTATCGGCCAACATTTATCCTTGAGACTCTGAAGACTTTACTTGGACTATTTATCCCACATGAGACCTCCTATTTCTGAGAAGCACCAATGCCCAGTTCTGACCACAGGGTTACCCTTGAAAGATGATGAGCACCTTTTAATCACCTGTGTTAAGATCTAGTTAAATTGTTTAACAAGCTGACATCTATCTGCTCATGCCATAAGGGATGCCTTTTCAGGAGGATTACAGGGGAAGCACAATGTCATGGGTTCAGGTGGCTGAATTTTTGGTAATAGCGGGCCATCGAGATGATTTCAATTAGAAGCTACTAGAATCTTTTGCTATTCTATGAAAAAGTCAATGATAGTCAGCTCCAGGATGGAGTTCCTACTACTAGCCAATAATATTTGCTTCTGTGATAACATATTTAAGAACAGAGGAAGAGATGATTTGTTGCACAGAAGAAATTCCAGCTTGGAGGAGAGCAGAGGAGAACATGAGATAGGAATGTAAACTCCAAGGTCAGTGTAGCAGGAGGGGCGAGGAAGAGGCCCAGGGAGGCCTCCCTCTCCCCCTCCGGCAGGGGAAGGACTGAAAGGCAAGACCTCTGTCGCCTGTGGAAGACCGCTGGGGTGCAGAGATCCCCCTCTGCAGCTCATGAAGGAGCCCATGCTGGAGCAGAGGAGTGCATGAAGAAGATGTGACTCCGTGGGAGGCCTAAGATGAAAGAGAGTCTTGCTGGAGACCTGTGGCCCATGGAGAGAGAAACCTATGCTGGAGCAAGTTGTCCTGGGTAGGACTTGTGGCCCTGTGGGGGAATCCACGCTAGTGCAGCTCATTCGTGACCCAAGGGACAGCAGATTATGGAAGAACTGTGGCCTGAGGGGTGGACCCACGCCGGAGAAGTCTATCAAAGACTGTCTCCTGTGAAAAGGGACCCCACAAGAAACAGGGGAAGGAATCAAAGCCATTATCCCCTGTAATTGTGGTGATGACCACTGGTGAAGCAAGTTGTCCTCTTGCAGTCCATGGAGACCATCAGAGCGCAGAGGGAGAGAGACCTCTGCATCCGATGGAAAAGTGACCCCCAGGACAGTGAATTGGAAAGGGATCCTATCTAAGAGGTGGAGTTTAGCCGCAGCAGAAGCAGCCACTGGCTGTGACTTTCCCCCTTTTCTTATCTCCCTGTGCATCTGAGGGAAGGGGGGAGTGGAAGGAAGGAGTTGTGTTTTAAAACTGTTTTATTCTTTTACTCTTTTAGTTATTATTCTATTAGCAATAATTTAGTTTTTACTTTAAGTTTATCAGCAATAAATTTAAGTTCTATTCACTTTGAGTCTGTTTGCCTGTGAGAATTAATTAGTGGGTGAATCTCCCAGTTCTTATCTCTACTCAGGAATTCTCTGATTGGTTTTTTTCCCCCCTTAACTCAGAAAAGAACAAAAGGGGGGAGGAAGGGAGAAAGCAGTTTTCAGTAAGTGTTTAAAATCCGGCCAGAGTCAAAACCACGGACACACAAGTATTAAGGGAGTCCTTTCACTGCCTCCTCGACTAAAGGGACAATCTTTCTTAACTAGTTATGAGCCCAGATCTAGGCACATGAGGATGAAGATGGAGGTTAAGTAGGAGGAAGGCAGATCCAGGGAGGGCAGTGGGGAAGCACCAGGTACTTAAGTAGCAGTTCTGCAGTGCTCTTGCTCTGTCAGGCATGACAGAGCTTCCACATGTAAAAAAATCCTCACTGAAGTTAAGCCCAAGGTAAAACTAAGGGCAACTATCTCTAAAAGGTTGAGGCTCCAGCACTCCTGTGTGCAAACCCAGCCTGGTACTTGGGAGGCAGCAGCTGACCAAGGAGACACTGCTCTTCCTTTAGCCACTAAAGAGATAAAGAGCTACCGATGCAAAGTCAGTCTGTATACACAACTTTCCCATGGCACAGGTGGACAACCCAGCACCAGTCCCGAGGTGGATGCTTTTCCTGTTTAAACAACTTTTCCTTCATCCTCCAAAGTTCCATCCATAATCACCACCCATCATCACCATCCCAGTAAATATAGGAAGACCCAAGACACAAGGTGTGCACATGTCCAGGGTCAACCTAAGTCATCTGGAAGAGCTTCTCCTTCATCAGAGTCTCATCTATATCAAACAGCAGTACGTCTCCACTCCTGACACACTCCCCTGGACATAGGATACAAGAAAACTATCCTGTTGTCCTTGATATCTTTACAAAAAGAAGAGAAACCCCTGCATTAAGGGACCATTTTCTCTGAAGTTTCTTGGGCTAGGGCTCTATCATTTGGAGAATTCTGATAGGGTTGCAGTCTTGCACTCTACAGTTCACATCATGTTTTCACAAGTGAGAAGAATTAATGTCTAAAATACCTTAACTGCTAAAACCTACAAAGCCTGCACACACTGGGGAGCAAGTGCAAAGGAGTTTGAAATAATAGCTCCAAATGAAAATCCCACTAGGCAGGTTGCAGGCATAAAATCAAATGCCAGTCATTTCATTTACACAGGCAGTGAATGCTATCATTCACTTATCGAAATTCATGAGGCCTAACAAAAATAAATATTACTAGCTTAAATAGTTACAGGTTCAAATTGCAAATGGCAAGGAACTATTTCTATGACTTGTTATAGCAATCAGATAATGCAGGCCACACTGACCTCCAGTTTGAAAGAAACTTTGCTCTAACCTAAGAAAAGTAAATACAATTCAGCAAATACTACACAAGAAACTTTGGGTTGCAGCATAAAAGATAGAGATGATGGAGCCTAAATTACAATGACTTTTCAGCTTTCTTTAAAAAGCCAAATGGGAAAATTTAATAATTAATGATTTGAGTAGGCTACTGGCTCAAATGATATTGCTGTCTTGAGCAAATACATCTTTTGAAAAGAAAATGTCTGCTGACATTTCTTCATGTGGACTGAGCAGAAGGAAGCAGCCAGTGACATGTGCCAAAAACAAATCTATTTCAGATTGTCCTGAATGTCCATTCATTCAAATTTGATATTTCACCTACATCCCACACTATATCATCTTAGGATCTTGTCTCACTCTTTCACTCTTGCACCTAAAACCCAGCACTTAAAACGTTTGCAGATCTCTCGTTCCATCTGGCATGATCCATACTCATCCCTGTTCTGAGATGGTTACCTTCAGGGAAATGGGAGGTTTTTTGTTGGTTCACATGCTTTTTGGTTGGTATCTGTCACATACCAATTACTTTAATTTTATTCAAAGGTTTGAGACCAGAATATTTCCTTTGTCAGCATAAACTCTTGCTTACTCCTTCACTAGCTTGTAATGGCTTAACTGTTGTAAGAAAGTCACCTATTTAACTGTCATGAGACTTTTCAGCAGGCCTGCATAGAAAACTCATTTCCATCTAAATATTTTGGGGTTCTTTGAGCAAAGCAAACACCTGTTTTGTATCTCATCTATCCATTTAAAACACCTTTGAAATCTTTTGTGATTTCTATGAAACAACGCTGCATCAGAGAAAGAGTTTTTCCTCTAGTAACATATCAAATCAGAAATACATTTCAAAACAAAGCCTTAGAGTCTAATACAGTCTTCTCACATTTCAGTGCTGTGGAGTCTTGCCTGGCACAAACACAGAAGATATAAATACAGCTAGTAGAAGTACAACCTTCCAGCACAGCTCTTGTTTAAGCAGCTCTTGTGTAAAATAGCCTACTTTTTGTGGTACAGATTTTCCATGCTTCTATATGTCTACTTGGGCTGTCAGCAAGCAAGTACCAGCAGTTCTACAGCCTTTTGTCAAAAGGCTCACTAAGTGGATAATACTCTCTGCATAGATTATATATGAGTGCAGGTTCTCACCACAACCATACTATTCTGTGGGAAGCCCCTAGAATATTTGTGACTATCTGCCTGAAGATAATTTGAAGGGGAAATCCCCTCAAGAGAGAGATTTCTTCCTATGAAAGACAACTGATGGTAGAAGGATTGGAGTTTGGGGCCTTTTAGGATCACTTTTGCTTGAGGTGCAAAAAATATCTGTAAGGAAGAGCCTCATCCCACTGGCTCTGTGAAAAAAATATTGGGATCTAAACCAAAATAAGGAGCAGTAGGTAGAAAGGCCACTTAACCCTCTCTTCTTGCATTCATACTCACACAGTCAATTCAAAATGCTTTCATCTGTATTGAGACAACAACACAGATGCATGGCCAGAATCCATTCCACTGCAGGAGTCACAGCAGCTAATATCAATGGATGACAAGAAGTTTTCTTGGCCAAAGGGAAATTTACACCTTTGTAAGATTACTTCCTGTAGAACAGTAACAATCACTTCACTGGTGATTGACCCTTGGGACATACAGATTTGGAAAATAAGTGCTGGATTTTAACAGAAGGAACAGGGAGAAAAAGTGCAGAGCCAACCAGTGGCTGGAGAGATGCCATGCACATTAAGTATCTGCCTAATCGCTGCTGACATGCTGCAGGCTATCACAACTCAAGAACTGTAGGTACCTCACCTCACTGCAATGTTAAGTGGCAGGGAAAAGAAGTCTTTAAATATCCCTGCATACCAAAGCTGATTTTAAAAGCAGTACCAGAGGAGGGTGCACTGCCATCATATCCCAGTTGAGTTTCTTCCCTTTAGAAGGATCTCTGTTGCTTGCAATAAAAACCCCAGGTACTTGAAATACAAACCTCTATGTTTCATCCACTAAATGTAGAGCAAGAAGCAGGAGGGCTGGATGACCTGTGACCAACGACAGCAAGTTCAGGTTCCCCAAAATGCCATGGTAGCACCTACTGCATCACTGCTTAGATTATGCAACACAACACCCAGCCACCACAGAGTCTGCCCGTCCCAACCTTCCTTCTGGATACACACAAGTACATGACATACTAACAAGATGTATCCATCAGCCTGATGGATGCAGAACGGTGCAATCCAGTGAAGAGCAGGACTGAGGGAATGATGCAACAGCACAGAAAACAGACTCATTCCATATTGTAAAACTCACAGGACACCATTCAACTAAACTGACTCCATTACTTTTTCAAGCCAGATCGTTTTGCCAGGAAAGATAAAGTGGTAACCCTGGACTTGCTAGGGATTTGAGGGTGTCAGCAAGAAGCGGGTATAAAGAGGGCAAAGGAGAGAAAATAAAGTAACATTTTAAAAAAGAACAATCAAAGATTTCACATTATTAACATTTTTTTACTGGGGAAAAAGATGACATTTGTTTCTTTTTAAACTGTCTGGGGTAATTTTTTGAGTCTTTAGTCCAAGTTTCAAAACTACATCCAGAGAATGGAAGCACTTCAGCTTGTCTCTGCTCCAGATGCGAGTAGCCACCTGGTTCCTCACTCAGCTGAAAACAGCAGTGATGGGTAACTGAGTAAACCTGTCAAGATTTACAGCCATAAAACCCATTTAAGGAAGGAAAAGCAGACATAATCAGAAATACAATAACCTCAGCACATCTGTGATAAGAAACTTTTTTTGAGATAAAAAAGTGTGCAAAACCCTTCTAAATGGAACCATCTTTGCAATCTTTGCAATCAACTATTTCAGAAAAGATCAAAGGCACTGACTTGCTCCACTGTTGTTGTGGTGGCTGAACACCTATATTCCACTAAAATTTCTGTGTCAAGGACTGTGTAGCAGCTTGACTATTCACATTTATCTGATGCAATATTTCAAACCAAATATCCCCCCTTCTTTCATCCTATAAGAATATTTGGCTCATATAAATCTTGAAGAATCACCAAACTCTGAATCAGTTTACTGCAAGCCTGCAGTACACAATACAAACATGTGCCTTTGTGGTCTTGGAAAACAAACAGTTGTAACAGGCCTGGCTATTACAGACACCATTTTAATATGAATCCGTGACTATATATATGTGCACACACCTGTATATACACAGATATGTACACACACATACCAGCACACGGACAGGCTACCACAAACAACACAGCTCTCGTGTTGGTGAGCATGTTAGGTGAGCATCAGGCCCTCAAGCAATAAAGAGCAAGAAGCCCCTGAACACTTTCAAATGCTCCAGAGCCTATTAATATATTAAACAATATTAGATGGGCAGGAGCCCTATCAGCCTCAGATATGACTGATCACATTTTTGCAGGCTCACATAGTGCACAGCTCACTGGGCAAGTCACGAATGCCCAAAATATCACTGCCTAAAGTTAATTTAGCTTAACTACTTTCTACTGCAGCCAAATGGACATGAGAAAACTTAAATCATAGCTCTTCCTTGGGTATATAAATGCTTCAAGAAGAAAGAAAAAACTAACACACAAAACTAAACAGTAAACCCATTACTTTTAAGAGGAGCTTTATGCTATAATGGGATGAACAGAAAACCTTTTTACCATATATTCCCTATAACTGACTTCAGCCTTTCCCCAGAATATCACATTTAGAAGAGAAGGAAAAAAATCACCCATTGACTAACAAGCCAGTTAAGGAAACATTTCTACAGCTTTGTAACAGAAACCTGACAAAGCTGAAAAACGTTGACAGTTCCACTAAGCATTTCCCTCTACACTCATCTAATAAATTGGGATTGTATACTGTACATCAGTAACCTGCAACGGGTAATCGGTTTAAAATTGAAATCAGAGACTTTATGCTCTGAAAGGATGTATAAGACTCTGTACAGTATAAATATGGTTTTGAAATACTGCTATATAATACTGAAGACTTTTATGGCCAGCTGAAGTGGACATACCTAAAGACACTTACTAGGGTTCAGCCCTTTAATGTTTTGAATGTCAAGGAAGATTGGCCAGAGTTTTAAGCTTTTCAGAAGAAATATGTTAAACACTAAATTCCTATTATGTTGTAGTGTGAATAAAAACGTACTTGCAATTGGAATATGCTCATTCAGTACAGGGAGTGGCATCTTCAGAAAACTGGAAGAAGGCTGCATACACTTCTAAGTGAGATTTATCATTAACCTTCAGGATGCATGCAAACATTAAGAGCATAACTGCACATAGCAAATTAGAATCAAGGAGAGTGTAAAAATACGTATCTCCCAAACTTGTTATCCCAGGGTCTGTTGGGAACAGGATTTTGAAGTACCCATGAAGGCAAACTCTCTCATTCCACAATGAAAAGAGGAGCTTTTCCATCAGTGGTGACAATACCACCCTCAAGATTTCTGACAGTGCTGATGCTGACCATATGAGGCTGCTATTAACCCTTCTGGATGTTGTGGCTAGCAATTTCTTTATTTAAAACTATTTAGTGATCCTAGATGTTTTGTTGGTTTTTTTGTTTTGTTTTTCTCTGGGTGCCATAGCCAATGCTCCATGAATCATCTCCACTTTCCAAAAAATGACCTTTGCATAACCAGAGATTTTAATTTTGAACACTAGACTTCTAACAGATCCCTGCCTTCAGACAGATGCTCAAGACTTATAGTCCAGCATGTTTCCAAACAAAGTGGGATATCTGGGAGACTCACCTTCCTAGCCTACCTCCCCTTCCAAAAAATCACACCAGCAGGTGCTATCTGAAGATAATTCATATTATCAATCAGAACAATGGACATTTACATAAGGAGCAACAAATTCCATCATTTACATCCCATCATACTGTACTAGATCAGCATTTCATTCACACCATTGTGAATCTCTAGCAATCTATGTTGAATACAAGCTGCTTTCAGCCTTTGCATCCTTCACTGGTTCCTGACCAAAGTTAAGCATTGCTTTAAACTGGGAGCTTTTCTTCTCCCAGGGTGCTTTTCCTCTACTAAGTCTTCTGATAAGTCCTTAAAAATGAATGCTCTGTAAAAGCCACTATGGAGAAAGCCAAAGCATAGAATTACTTGTGAACTAAAGGGTGTGAAAGGAATTCATTTTTAAAGAACTGAACGCCAGGATGAATACATTTATTTATACCACAGTGCACCAAAGTTCCAATATCAATAGCTGAGTCATTGGGCCATATCTAAGCATAAAAGATAAAGACATGCTTTGTGGACATTTATTGGCAGCAATGGCTCCTACTCACATTAGAAGTGCACCAGATGACATCAACTAGGTCGAATTAAGAGAAAACAGTTTTAATTCTAACAAAGAGCCTCTAACCCAGACAAGAGACAGACTATGCTCCGAGGCTCTTTTCAATCAATAGGAAAAGAAGAAGCTTGCCAGTTTCATAATTTTTTTGAGATGTAGATAAACTTTCTTTTCATCGGCCTTTTTTTGTTGTGTTTTGGGTTTTGGTTTGTTGTTGGTTTGTGGTGGTTTTTTGGTGGTTTTTGTTTGTTTGTTTGTTTGTGGGATTTTTGGTTTTGTGTGTGTGTGTTTTTGGTTTGTTTGTTTGTTTGTTTTGTTTTTAAGTTACATAGACATTTCCTCTATGGTCCCTCACGCCAAGAGCGGGCACACAACGGGGACAAACGCCTCTCAATTTGGAAGCGTCTCTCCAGCCTCCGGACGGATTTTGTCCCTCGCCAGGCTGAGTGCAGAGATACCAACTCCGTCAACGCAGAGCGCGCTGCTCCCGCTGGAGGTGATCGGTATTAGAAACGTTTCCCGTTTAACACGGCATGACCCATCACCTTTTGTGCCCCGTGCACTTTCTGTCAGGGCGATGAGCTGCCAAATATTTCCCGCGAGGAAGCGGGGCCGCGCACAGAGCCGAGCCATCGGCCGCGGGCAGGCTGGCGCTTGAGGACAGTGAGATGCCGAGCGCCTGCTGCCAGCTCGAGAAGCGCATTCCCGTGTTAAAACACCTCCAAACGCGGGGGGAATCTGCTCACATCTGAGGAATGCCTCCCGCACAAGGGGCGCGGAGCCACAGCGCTGTCTCCACCGCACCCGCACGACGGGGCGGACCGAGCGCGGGCAGAGCGCCCGCAGCCGGGGCGGAGGCGCTCCTTCGCTGCCTGCCCTTGCGAGGGGGACTCGGGTCCCGCCGCCCCGCTGCAGGAGATGCGACTGCCAGAAGAGACGGATGTCCCGGCAGCGCTGCCCCGGCCGCTCCCCGCCGCCGGCCCCGGGCACGCAGGGGCCGCACTACTCACCACCGCGTGCTGTCGTGGTAGTGCTGCAGCACCGAGTACCCGAAGAAGGAGCTGTTGGGACCCTGGAAAACCACGGGGCGACCCACGTCCACGTTGTAGCAGCGCACCAGGGCCACCCACAGCAGCGGCCACAGCACTCGCACTCCGCGCCGCCGCGCCTCCGGCATCCTGCCAGCCCCGAGGCAGCCGCCCGTACCGGCGCCTCTAAGCGAATGAGCCCCGGCCCGCCAAGCCCGCACTGCCCCCGACGCCGACTCCCAGCTGCCGCGGCCAGGCGCGGCGCTTTCCTGCCCGCACACCCCGCGGCTCGGCTCGGCTCGGCTCGGCCCCGCCTGGCCCGGCCCGGCCCCGCCGCGCCCCGTGGGGACTGCTCGCCCTGCTCGCCCCGCCCGCCCCGCGCCCCCTGGCGGCCCCTGCAGGACCCACCGCGCCAGTCCCGGACCCACCGCCCCTCGGCTCCGAAACGAGCCATCCTCGGCTCCGGCACCCGGCCCCTCCCACGCACCGCCACACCGGCACCCTCAGCGTCCCGCACTTCCACGCAACTCTCTTTCAGCTGTGGCTTTCTCTCATTTTCCCACATGTTCCCGTTCTCGCGCACCCCCGGCCCGCTCCCCTGGTCGGCCTCTGGAAGGAGAAATGAGAAGTAACAGAGCTGAGGGCAGAAAGAGATGCTGGAGGAACCAGTTCAGCCTCCCGTCAATAGTTTGAGGCTATCCGTCCTGCTTGAATTTGGCACATGGAGAGGCACACTTCATGGTAGCTGACAGAAGAAAGATCTGATTGGCATCACACTGCACGGGAGATTTTCTGGGTAAAGGAGAGGCAGCGTCTTTTTTCAGGGCAACAGGAATGAAAATACTTTTGGGGAAAAAAAAAAATCAGACCTGTGTTTTCTGGCATAAGTACTTCAGGTCTGAAAAAGAAGCAGCAAACTTCGTGGCTAAGTAAAAGCTGGAAATAATTGCTCTAATACTTTAATATGACTGAGAGCAAAAATAATCAGTCAAATATGTAATAAAAGATGAGCTAAAGCAAAGGAAAGATGATAGTCTATTCTAAAGAAAAAGAGAAGGGTGATCATCACCCAGAAGGAGAAGGGGAGGGGACTTATGTGCTAGAGACCGCTGGGCCAACAAAGCCCACCCTTTTAACAAAGTAAAAAGCAATACCTTTTAGTGCTCATGATTCATGACAGATCGTGAGAGATCCTTGTTAAGGATCAAGCCCAGAATCTCAGAGAAGAAATACTATCTCAATGGTGACTTTGTTACTGTTAGTGTTGACTCTAGCTGTTTAATTCCATGTACACCCCCCATACATGAGGAGGTGCACCAGGAGAAGCAGAGTAAATTCTGGGAACAGAGGGGCCAGGAACTCTGATACAAAAGGAGCTGCTTCTTCTGGCAGGTCCCTGGAGATCAGCAAGCAAGTCCAGTACTTATTGCACACGCACATGATGGTTCATGGGGAATTTACTTGTGATAACAACAGTGATCTCCAAGGAAGACTGCTGGATGTTGGGGCTGTAGGAAAGCTGGCATGGGAAAACACTCTTGCAGGTCAAATCTTCTGTCAGTGAAGGAAGCTCTTGGTGAAAGTGTCATCATTTTCTGCAAAGGGTTTGCACCACAACTTGTGTTCAGCGAGGAGGGAATGGCGCTGAATGCGTAAAAGGAGGGAAACGTGGTAAACCATTTCATAGTATCTACATGTCCCTTTCAAAAACGTAGCCTAATGTTGTTAGGGAGCATCCTCATCAGGAAAAAGATTGATCGCAATCATTGCCCTTAACCATCACCCTCAGAGCAAGTACTCTGGTGCAACATGTATATGTTGCTGTTTAGAAACTGCCATTTTTTATGTTGACCGTGATGCCAGAAAGTGGACATTAGCATAGGAATATTCCAGGGGCAGGTTAAGTAGAGAAGTAATAACTACAGAATTTGGTGATGAAAAAAAAAGACTAGCGATGGAAGGGATTTCCAGTCATCAAGGTGTTTTTATATTGGCTGCGTAAAGGCTAGTGGTATAATTATTTAGTGTTCTTGTTCAAATTGGCTTATAAAAAGTTTGGAGTAGTGATAGTCTTCTCTTCTTCATTTAAGTATGACCAAGATTATGGAGATGGGAAAATTTTCCAGTCTTAAGTGACACAGTGGTCAATATCAAATAAAAAGGAAAAGTCACTTTATCAGTAACTTCAGCCTTTAGTGTATGATCAAACTGCAAGAACTGATTTGCTCATTAAAGCACCAAGTGAAAACAATAGGGCATTTACATCATATTAGCAGGGAGATTTACAACATTTAATAAAAAGATTTTCATGGGGGTTTTATAACTGTACAATCAATATGGATAAAAGTAATTTGATTTAGGCAGAAAGTCAATATGCCATGATTAAGTAAATTCCACAAACGACATTCAATCCCATTAGCACTACAAAGTCAAATCTCTGCCTTTTGAAGCAAGGAAGTGAGAGGGCCTGATGGGGCTTTTCAATTAATTACCTGGGCACTGAGCGATGCTCAGGCAGCTCTCCAACAAAGTTAAAGGAAATGTGGGATGACATGCTGGAGAGAGCAAAAGGTTCATCCATCTCTAAAGGAAGGAGGGAAGCAAAGCAGCTAGAAGAGGTGAATGGAACACTTGTCTCTCACGCTGTAGAGTGCTCTTGGGATGACTTATTTCAGCTAGAAGTGATGCATATGAAACTATGTCAGTCCATAAAAATTTCAGCTCTCCATTCTTGGCAAGGAAGATTATCCAGGGAAAGGTCAGGAACACGGTACTTCCATCCTTTTCTTTCTTTCACTGCACATCCAAATACCAAAGTCATCTCATGTTTAATCCAACTGGAATTTTGTCAGGCCAAACAGAAACAGAAACTGCCGGTCTCAATGGTGTAAGTTTAGCTGATAAAATTCTGGCAGGCCATTTACGAAACCAATGGGAAGGATCCAGTGCAGTGACAAGGATAATAATAATGTAGAGGTAAATGAATATGGCAAAACTAATGGCTGAGAACATGGGATAATACATTAAATCGTATGCCAACCCTTTGTGAAAGAAACATTCAAAACAGGAATTGCTATAATCTGTACTTCTATATCCGTACTTCTATATCCCTGTTCTCGCTGCATGAACCTTGAAGTTTGTATCATCTAGGGAGGCTCCATACCTGCACCATAGGGCTCATTTGTACTTTACACCCACCTATATTAATTAAACACTGTATTTTGGCAGGGCTCAGCCTCCAGATTAGTTTTTAAATTAGAAAAGTTATCTGTAAATTGAGAATTGTCGGTGAAATAGCACTCTTAACAATACTTTTTGATTAAAAGTAGAGCTCAGGGAAAAAAAAAGTCCAATACAACAATGTTCTGACAGTGCAAAGAAAAAGAAAACAAATGCACCATGTCTGCATTTCTTAAAGATTCGGCTGTGTACAGACTGGGTTCATCAAGACTTAGTGTTAACAGATAAGCTGCCCTCTTGGAGGCTTCTCCTGCCAAAATGCCACTTCAGAGATCATAGAATCATAGCATTAACTGTCAGAGAGAGGGGTGTTCCTTTGTAACGAATGTATAAAAGGAGTAACTCTAATATACCAAAGTATTTATATATATATATATATACATACAGAAAATACAATAAATATAACATCTTTTGGATAAAGAGGAAAATCTCCACATTCACTTGCCTACCAGAGAATGAGAGGGGAAATGGCTGAATGGACGGGAACAGAGCTCTGTCCCCGGCAATTGCTAAGCCACACTGAAAAAAGCTGACTACATTTCAATTTGTACCATTTCAGTCTGTCAGACATCAAATCATTTGCAGCATCTAGACTTAGAGGCAAAATCTAGACTGCTATTGTCATGGTACAAACCACACCTTCCTACCTTATTCCCATTAAATTAAGGAGATGTCACCCTCAATTTCTGCACCAAATGAATTACTTTTGCTAGGTAACATGTTCAGGTTGAGTTCCCACTGAAAAACTGAATGAGGTGACTACACTGATCTCCTCACATAATAACACATTTAATTTCTATTGGTCTGTTCTTGCATTTGTCTGTAACTAGTTCTCCAGCTGAAGTAAACAGGAAAAAAGGAAAATTATTTCCTTGTTGGTACTGTTATTTGCTATTGTTAGCTCTTCAACCACTGCGTCTTACCTTTTTCATACAGTTATACTAGCATTTTCCAGGCAGATTGAGAATCTTCAAAGTTTTATCTGGGTGGAAGACAGAATCACAGTATCAGTAAGGTTTGAAAAGACTTCTGATATCATCGCGAGCAACCCATGACTGAGCACCACATTAGCTAGACCCCAGCACTAAGTGCAACATCCTGTCTTTCCTTAAATACCTCCAGGGACAGTGACTCCACCACCTCCATGTGCAGACCATTCCAGTATCTAATCACCCTTTGTGTGACAAATTTCTTCCTAATGTCCAATCTAAACCTCCCCTGGTGCAGTTTCAGATTACGTCATCTTGCCCTGAGAAGAGGCTGACCCCCACTTGGCTATAACCTCCTCTCAGGTAGTTGTAGAGAGCAATAAAAGTCACCCCTGAGCCTCATTCTCTCCAGGCTAAACAATCCCAGCTCCATTAGCTGCTCCTCATAGTGCTTGTGCTCCAGGCTCTTCATCAGCTTCATTGCCTTCTTCTGGACTTGCTCCAGCACCTCAATGTCCTTCCTGAATTGAGGGGCCCAGAACTGGACACAATACTCAAGGTGCAACCCCACCTATGCCAAGTACAATGGAAGAATCACTTCCCTGGTCCTGCTGGCCACACTACTACCGATACACGTCATGATGCCATTGGCCTTCTTGGCCACCTCGGAACACCACTGGCTCATGTTCAGCTTCCTGTCAACCAGTACTCCCAGGTCCTTTTCCGCTGGGCAGCTTTCCAGCCACTCTGTCCCCAGCCTGTTGCACTGCAAAGGGTTGTTGAGGCCAAAGTGCACGACCCAGCACTTGGCCTTGTTGAACCTCATGCCATTGGTCTCAGTCCATCTACCCAACCTGTCCAGGTCCCTGTCCAGAGACTTTCTATCCTCCAGCAGATCGACACTCTGACCAAACTTGGTATTGTCCACAAATTTGTGGATGGTAGACTCAATCCCCTCATCCAGCTCACCAATAAAGATACTAAACAGGACTA